TCAAGGTCTTCTTCGCCAGCTCCCTCCACGCCACGCCCGCCACATCCTCTGGTACATGCCTACTTACTAGTTACCTAGGTACCTAACAATGCGAAGCTTTCTGTCAACCGAGCACATGGATCATACCATATCTCTGCTGACTCCTGTACAACACTCAAAATGCACACATACACACACACCCGCGTAGGTATCATTAAACCAGGGGAGCGGTTCTGTGGGGTTATGGCGATGGAGGCGATGGAGTCCTCTCGTTTCCTTAGGCCTCGCCATGTACGGCCGTATCCAAGATCTCAGCGGAGGTGTGACGATCTAGTCTGGAGCTGCTGAGAATTGGTGAAGCTGAGGAAAGTAGGTGCGAGGGTGTCGCTAAGCCTTGTGAAGATGTTTCACGTGCACGATGAAGGAGGTGAGATAGCTTGTCAAGCGACTTTGGACTCGGAGGCTTCCCGGGGCCTTGGAACCGGCATCCTCTGGTATCCTAGCTTGAGAGCCTTCGTCTTCAATGTTGGATGTCAGGTACCTGACTGTCGGTTGTAATTACGGACCTCATAAAGGAGGTCGTTCTGGATATATTAGCCGACAATGTAATGACATGACTCTTGTAGGATAGCATGATGTAGATTACATACTTGTCACTCCCCCCATGTAGCACATTTCAACTTGCGAGTTGTGGTAACACACGTAATACTATTTTATATCTGTATCTCTTCCAAGTTGGTACTGGGTATACAGCCAACTGGGATAGCAAGCCTTATGAGATGAGTAGGTACCTACATGTAGGTAGGTAGACCCTCTACTGTAGGTATGTATGCATGTATTCATGTATTGTACTGTATGCACACTCCTTGCCGGTTCATCCAGTACGCCTCAGCATCATTAAGCTTCCCGCAATAGGGACAGTCCCCACTACCCAATGGCGATCATTATACGACAGTAAAGACCCGTGAAAAGTGATATTTACCTCTCGGATACATATCTGTTGCGCGTACGTTGTACCTCTCGTTGTACTGGGGGTTAGCCGGATCGCTTCACTCTCGCACTTATGCGTTGGCGATTCGCCGACCCAATGGCCGCCGCATAGGATGAATGCGCATGCATGGTTCTAGCGGTAAGGCTTTTAACAGTCCAAATCCAGAGTGTCAGAGGAGTTAAAGGAATAAATGATTAAATGGGGTTGTCAATCGAGTCCCGGTAAGCTACCTTGAGTAGCTGGTTGAGACCAACGCCTCCCATGCCCGGGATGCCGCCACAAGCTACTCTACCAAACATACAAATGACATTGCATGCGCCGGACCTGACATACTATATGTTATATCTCCGTTAATGAGAATTGTCAACTATATGTATCGTTGCTGATCCGAAATGGCATGGATGCCATAATTTCTAACCTACGTTCTTTGTTCACTTGATATGACACCTCATATACCAACCATAATATCTCTATGCCTCTAAATAGGGGTAGCTCGTGTAAATGTAGATATAGTATAACTTAATTCTCACTTCATTCTAGTAAACTTCGTTTTGTTAATAATTAAAAGTATTCAAGGGCGAACTCCGAACAACACACCAAACCGAACTTTCACCTTATGTTAGCTGCGAATGGACACAAGGCATCACTCCTAGATGATTATTTCAAAAATAAATGTATAAAAAAAAAGGATCTCTTAACGGGACGTCAATTTCCATGACCTGTCAGTCCTATTGGTTTCATTGCCATCCTTTTTCCCACTTGATCCTATAATGACATTTGTTTTCCTTTTTTGCCTTTCCCACGGACTAGAGAATTGTCCACAGCATTCCAAGCCGTGGATGGAAAGGACCGAATAATCTTTTGGACCACTCGAACAACTTTCCTGCATGAGGATTTTCTTTTGCCTCCAAGAATCTACTACGTAGTATAGGACTTGACCGCAACGTTAATGGTAGAAGAAAAAAGGAGGTCAAGATGAGTAAGGGGAAGCCTCTTCAACTCATTCACATACCTATGTAACACAACCTCCCTGATATTCGCTCTCCGAATTCAATTCACAGAACACCGAAATATCAAAATAAGGGTTAATGTTTCACGAAGCACAACACGGCTCGGCTGATGCCGTCTTTTACATCCTTTATGTCTTTTACTCTTTCCCTTCTATTTTAGCATCTACGACAATTACCTAAGTAGGTAGGTAGGTACACATAATAACATAATAGCTCATCTTGCCGAGTGGCACATATTTCGGTTGGATAGGTATGTATGTAAGTACTTGAGTAAGTACCCAGATTCCTAGCATTCACGAGCTACCTAACCTAGTACTATGTTGTCACATATGTAGTTCACGAGGATAGAGAAATGTACCTAGTATCTAGTAACCTAAGGTCATCCCACCTAGATGGCCCATCCCAACCAAAGCCAAGGACAAGCGGAGATCGTCCAATAGCTGCATGAGCTATGGGAATATGTAAGCTGGCCAATTATATCCCCAGTACCTTATCCTTTTCCGGTAATTCAGCCATGCTACCCTGTCCATCGATCTACACACAACTAACACACGCGTCCCCATCTCTATCCAAACCCCAGATAGCATAACTTTCTCATCTTCTTGACCCATACATGAGCTTGGGTAAAAGCGTTTAACAAGATGAAAATGACTAAAAAAAGAAAAAAAAAAAAGGGAAAAAGAAAAAAAAAAGCATTTTAATATGGAACCCATTCTCTCACGTCATCTGCCAATTATCTCATCGATATACCGCATCCAACATCCACTCACTAATTGCTTTACAAGTGTAATGCTCAAGCTGGGGTTTTCGGCCAATTTTGTTGCTTTTGAAGCTAACATGCAATTCCAATCTAGAGGCACGGCAACTACATAGTATATGCAGGTGGACATTATCCATCTACATACATACATACATACATACATACATACATACATAGTATGATAGTAGTATATCAACACACCTACCTACATGTACCTTGCCTTTCTGCGTAATACGTCAACTTATATGGACTTGTCAGTTGATGACCATACCCATCCATGGGCACCACTCTTGAAAATGGGTGCACATACGTGACTGATATTATACCTCATAGCACGGCTCATAGCACATACATAGTGCATGTAGGTACCTATCTACGTATGGATGTACAATACAATACCTTACCTACTTACATACCTACCTACCTACATACGGAATCTCGCCTCTTCCACTACACACCACACACCCTTTTCTAAATTGTATAGGTCGACTCATCCTTGTCCAAGGTTGCCATTCCCATCAGGTCATTGCTCTTTTCGTCTGTGCCCTTCACCTGCTCTGTGCTTTTTTTTATCCACATTTCTTCTTTTTTTTCTTTTCCTACCTCTTCCCTCTCTCACTTCTCACCCCTCGAGTTCCACATGAAGCCACTAGAGTACCCATCTATCAATGAATCTACCCACCGGTACCTTAGATCTACCTATCCCTTCAACCAATGTGGGGGATTCATATCCACTCCTCTACCTTACTTACTTATGTATAATACCTACATAGTATACCTACATAGTACTAGGTACATGGTATTGTTGACTATGGAGCACAACCCCAAGTCTTCCCCGATCACAGACCCTTGCATGATTTGCAGCCTTTAAGACATTGGAAATCTCGCATTTCAACGGCTAGTATCCCTGTTAGTAGCTACTTTGACCACCCTCTACAGTCTATACCATCACCAGGGTTGGCATCATCGTTGCTGCATACACAAGCAAGTGCCCGACTCAACATCACCTGCTCACGAATTTCCATAGTAAATAAACTTGTAGGTAGACTTTAGGAGGGTAGGTAGGTATGAAGGTAGCAGAAGTCTGCGGCCGCCTATCAGACCCCATATGGAGGGGGTATCTTAAACGAAGTAAGAAAAGAACGAAAGAAAACGTAAGAAAAAAAAACAAAAAAAAACACTAGTAATAAAAATAAAGCAGGGGAGGCTTGAGATTGGCGACCTGGAATAAAAAAAAAGGTACATCGATAGTATGCCTGTGTAATGCAATGGTCTCGACCTGCCACACAACACAGGAATCTTGACTACAGCCCCAATTACTTCACAACGGCGATCCGAGAAATGTGTCTCGTAACTTATCCTTTTCGTCTCTTTATCAGTTGCTATTCCCTTCGAAGAAGTCCTTCCCATCTTGTCCCAGTTTGCGGAACAACGTCTCACACACACATACTTCAGAGACCCTTTTCTGAGCACCGTTCGTTTGCTGACAAGTTCTCCGACAACTTGGAGTTCTTTAGCCCGTTTACCTGTTCGTTGTTGGCAGCTCGTGTCTTTTGGTTCAAGCTACGACACGAACCACATAGGACACGCGAACCTCCCGGATACCTGCCTACTTCTGATTGCAGCCCTTCCAACTCAACCTTCATGCGAACACGTTCGGGCAGGCTGCATACGAACGAACTAAGTCTCCACACCGAACCGATTTTAACTGTAGACCGTAAGTTATAGCCCTTTGTTGTTTTAATTGCTTCAGGTCAATTATCACTTTCTAGTCCACCACTATCCCGCATGAACTCCTAGGCCTTTTATAAGCAGTGACCGGTTATCTTGGCCAGCTTTTAAAACCAACCAACAGGTTTCTGCTGTGCCTTTCTCGTTTTCTCCTCAAGCTTCACAACGTTGAGAGGAAATCCAAAAGTTACTAACCGGCAACCAGACGAACAAGATAGCCAAGGAGTTGAGTATCCTCTTTTGGGAGGCGGGGAAGAGTTTTGGATGCTTCCACTTTCCGAGACTCGACTCAGAAATAGTTTGCCAACAACCAGTTTCGACCAATGAACGGTACCAGACTCCTATCTACTCCTGCGAACTAAGTCGTCAAAGACTTTCAGACCTGCGCGGAAGGAAGAAAGAAGGGGTTTTCATATTAACCCCCCCTTAACGAGCAAGTCGCCGGAGTATCCTGCGGACCTAACTTCGTTGAGATTCAAGTTGTCAGTTCAGAGCGGCCTCTGTTTCTGTCGTTTACGCATCTGCCACTCTTCGTTCATAGTGCCTATCAAACCCCCGTTGAATGCTTGTTTCACTGGCATTTGCTATTAGGAGAACAGTATCAAATCCTCTCTAAAAAAAGACTCGGCAGCGTATAAGACAGGCGGAGCGCGAACGACCATCTAACAGCGAGAAAAAACCACCCTTCATTGGCAACTAGGGTCACTTAACTTTTATTATTTTTATTCTTTTAGGAAGTCTAGGAAATCGCCTTTTGGAAAATTTCTCAACACACAAGGGACCCGAAGTCCTTGGTAATTCTGTTCCCGAAACAGGTGTTCGTTCGTTTCATTTGGAACAAATCTATCTACAACTTCCCCCAGACTTACTCAGAACAGACAGCTTGATGTCTGCTGTCAAGTTTGAGTATCCAACCTACAAGTTGTTCGAGGTGAGTCAACGAGCATACGGCTAAGAGACACGCTTGGCAGCAAATCCACCTTTGGGAAGTCTGTTGACCAAACGTTTACAGCCTCAATATCATACTCAGAGGCCAATTATCGTCGATACCGACGCACTCGAGTCTCCTGAGACGGTTATCCTGAGATACGAGGAAGAGGCTGCCGCTAGAGCGAACGGAGGAGACCTTCGTGGGGATTCCCCACCGGGTCTCCTGTCTATGCCCACATATTCAAAGCCTCAACCGCCCCCAATGCACGGTGAGTACTTGATGCAGATGCTACTTGATCAACACTTCGAAACAGCAGCCGGAAACCCCCGAATTTCCGGACATTTCGAGATTTTATGTACTAGCTGTTGAGATGTTGTAAGGGGTTGTTGCCAAGGGCTAACGAGATATTCGATTTTCTTAGCATTTGATTCACCGAGATCGTATCATGATCCTCAATATTCATACGCTGCTCAGCAATTTGCAGCCCACCAATCCGAAAATGCTGCGGCGCAACTTAACCAGATGGCTTTCGCGGCCAACAGCTCTGCCGGGCAATATATGGCACCGATCGTGCCTACGCTGAACTCGTGTCATCCGGTAGCTGGCATGTACGGGACAAAGGTATCGGTCAAGATAACGGCTACGTACGATTTGATGGCGTTCACAAGCCACTTCTACCTCGCTTTTGGTTCCCACAAGAGCCCGGCACACGCGGTCAGGGACGCGAGTGACACGAGCGGGACCCGGTATGTAGTCAGCGGAGATGCACCGCAGCTCGAAGACACGAGGAGTCACAGCCCCAGCGTGCCTTTATCACTTTTAATAGAAGGCACAAACGGACAGACTCTGGCGACAGTTGACTCGGGCACGTTCACTTACCACGACAGTCCAGCTGGGACCACGGATGGCCCGCCTGAGAACGTCACGCGGGCCAAGGGGGGGTCCAGATCACCTGAGCAGGCGGAAAGCCCTACGAAACAACAAGAGCCAGACCAGCTGGTCCCTGAGACTGCTACAAATACATATGGCTACGCTCCCACCGCCCAACAAACCGTCGCATCCAACTACGACACAGGTTACACCAACAACGACAGTATGATAGGAACTTACCACCGATCGTCTTACGCGCTCGACTATCCGCGGCCGGCGCCACCGCCGCTCAAGACCCCTTCGTGGAGTACTTACGGCCACTCTCTATCTTCACGGAGTCCCGCCTCGGCCCTCACTCATACTACCATCACTCGACCTAGCAGCATCACCACCCTTCCCGTCCCAACCTCTAGCACACCCCAGCTTGTCCGGACGAGCACGTTACAGGCCTCCGGATCGTCCAGCGGCGCGCAGCTCAACCCCTACGCGATCTATTCGACGAAGGCGGTGCTCAAGATAAATGGGGATCTCGATTCGATGGCATCGGGGTGGACACAGGAGGAGTGGGACAACCGGCGGCGCATCGTCATGTTCAGCCGGAAGCAGCAAGCCTCGACACTATCAACATCCTTCAAGCCCGTCACGGTCAACGAGCGGCCGCCCAACAGCATATGCATAAGCTGCATCTACTGGGCGGAGAAGGACGAGTGCTTCGTGACGAGCGTGGACACGATCTCGCTGCTGGAGCAGCTGGTGGCGGCGCCGGGCAGGTTCACGGTCGAGGAGAAGAACCGCATTCGTCGGAATCTCGAGGGGTTTCGCCCCTTGACGGTCAGCAAGGCGAAGCCCGACAGCGAGGAGTTCTTCAAGGTCATCATGGGGTTTCCGGCGCCCAAGCCGCGGAATATCGAGAAGGACGTCAAAGTGTTCCCCTGGAAGATTCTGGGCTCGGCGCTAAAGAAGATTATTTCTAAATACGTGAGTTGGGACATTCTAGTAACATAATTCCATTGTTGTTTTACTGCTATTATTTCTTTGGTTTTCTTTTTTGGGGGGGAGCTTTTTTCTCTTTTTTTTTTGTTCTGTTTAGTTCATCAGCTAACCTTTACCACTATAGTCTGCATGCCCTTCATCCACATTACCCCCTGGCCCGGGCCCAACATTGCTTACCCCCGTCAGCAGCACAAGTCCCGGCCTCTACGGGCCACCGCACACTCCAACGGTTTCTGACGGAGGCTACTCCCATCACGATTCACACTCGATGCCCTCACCACGTTCCCTGAGTGGTGCACCATCAGGATGGGCTACTTACCCGGGGCGCACGATATCGCCCGGACTCAAGTCTCACTCGCCTCAGGGGATCCAGATCCCTAGCATACCCCCTTCTTACCGACATGCAGATACGCGCCCGCAACAACACTTACCGGCGCCGCCAAGCTATGGCATGCCGCACACGCACACGCGCTGGGACGCGACACCCGTGTCGAGCGGGTATGGCGACGCCTCGACAGCTGCTCCCGCCTACACGACAAGTCACCATCACCACCATAGTCATGTGTATGGGACGAGTGCGTACGGTGATGTCAGCCACCGAGAATAGCGGCGTGACCTACCTTTACTCCTGGTTCGTCCATCAGGGATGGCGAAGAAAAAAAGTGTTGAGGGATACACACACACTTTCGCACAGATACACACGCACACAGGAGAGAGAGAAAGATGAGATACACACACTTATTTCGGGACGTGTGTGCCGCGACAAGGTTGAATACCTTTTCGTGCCTACCTACCTTACCTACTTAGCTTCCTACCTATCTACCTAGTACCTAGTAATTTACCCATAACCCAGCCAGTCATCCATCCGTTCGTCCGTCCGGCGCCGAACCAAGACAGAATAAACCTAAACCCAGAAGAAGATAGGGGCGGGGGGGGGGGCATGGTTCTGGGGCGGCGCGCCGGAATGTGGCTCAACGCATCCGTACCGTATTTTAATCCCTAACGCGAAACATATAACCCCTCGCCACCCTACTATTGCTATTATTATTACTATCATTTTGGGTTGTTAATGCATCAACATGGTCATGGTGTGTGTATGTGTGTGTGTGTGTGTGTATGTGTGAGGGCGAAGAAGAATAAGAGTCAAAGAGACAGAGAGGGAGGGGGGGGGGGGTTAAACAAATTACAAATTGTTAAGAACACGACCCATCCCCATCGACTGAACGGAACGGAACGGAACGAATAAACGAACGAGCGAGCGAGGATTAACTATTATTTGATTCGCGAACTGGGGGGGAATTCGAACCCTAGGGTTCAGGGTTCAGGGAATGAAGACGATTCGTAAGAGAGCAATACGCCAAGGCTACCATGTTTAAAGATTTGTACGTGAGTGAGTGTGAGTGTGGTGGGGGGCACTAAACAGAGGGAAAGAGAGAAAGAGACAGAGAGCCTTGTGAGATGGTGTGGTGTGTGCTCAGATGCAGATGTGTGGTGGGGGGGGAAAGGGGGTCAAAAGGGGGGGAGGGGGGGGGGTATAAGGTCATGGTCAGCTGTTGTCACATCGACCAATCACGATTCTGCCCAGTACTCCAAATCTGATCGCAACACAACCAAATAAGAAACAAACCAAACCATCACCAAAAAAAAAAAAAAAACCATTACCTACATACATCCCTATCAGATCCCTACGGCTCATCATTCTTAGTATTCCGCAAACCTCACTAAGTTAGGTTAAGCCTTTGTCCGGGCGGCCACGGGAATCCCCGAACCCGTGATTACCTTACCTACCCTACTCCCCTATATTTCTGTCACCCTCTGTCACCCTCTGCCTTAACTATTTATCACCCTGTACGGCACTGCCTGCACCCCTTGCGCCTATCATACAGCTGTCTCTTATTTCTCCGGTGCTTGGGTTGACCTACCAGCCTGCCTGCCTGGAGGGCCATGATGATCTACCGTGCATGACTAGCAGCTGCACAGACTACATAGTCTGCTGCCACTGATTGGTCACAAGCTCGTCGAATTTGCAGACAGCTCCATGTGGGCAGCATGGATAAATCAGTGTGTGTATATGTTTAGTTTGAAGGGTCTGGCTGGCTGGCTGGCTGGCTGCAAAAGGGTCTATCGGGCGCGCGCGCGCCGCTGCCGCTGCCGCTGTGCTGCATCATGCACACCATCTGCGTCATGCCGTTGACGACTTCCTCACTGGGCTAATCACCATCCCTATACCCTTCCCCTACCTACCTCTATACCTAGTCAAATTCATCGGGAGCCAACCTCTTTCGACGCTCTCGGATCTCGAGGTCCAAACTTTCTCACATCATCTCAGATGAGACCCTTCACACACGAATGTTTCACGGCAGCCGCCTACTACTAGTAGTGCATACTCTCAGTACCTAACCTCTCTCATTTCGCCCTCTATGCTACCCTCTGCCCTCATTGGCCTAGGTGTAATGATCCACCTACAATGCATAGGGTGCAGTGGGTATTCATAGAAACCCACGGACATACTAGGCTCCAGCAGCAATATTGAGGCAACCGACCTATCAACTGATCTCGTGGAGCAGCTTTGAACTATCTTCCTGATATGATTACCCATGTATGTCAGGAGTGGTTCACTGAGGCAAAGTTCTAGCCTGCCACTCACAACCCTCGTTCTGACCGAGTTTGCTTTACAACGTCTGGTGATAGGTACTTGCATGCTCACGATAGCAGCCAACGATTGATTTGATCATGGGGGGCACACACCCTTTCTCTCATCTCGTTATGACGAGGATGGCCTTTCCTGTGCTATACTGAGCTTTGCAACATCGTTAGGTACACACAAGATGAACCCTTAGGCCTAGCAACGGGGTGAGGTATTCACTAACCTAGGTGCCTACTTGTGTCCTCCAGCGCCATGTATTTTGGTGCCTACAGCGCATACTGGTCCCTGAGTTACTAGCTTCCAGGAATCTACAAGATGGTTCGCAGGTCCCTTTTTGCCTCCGACAAGACACCCGTGGTTCTACACTCCATTCGTTCGATTAAACGACCACTCCCATTATCTACTATGACCGACCTACCCACAACACGGCGCAGATATGACTTCACACACTTACCTGTTCGACCTCACTTGCCACCACACCACTACCTACTTACTATCGTCTTTCACTTCGTCAAGCTAGGCTATCCTTCGGCCTAGTCGCATGCATTACCACTCGTTATTCTTATTTTCTTTTCCCTCGGCCTCTCTCTCTTTCTCTCTCTCTCTGCTTCATTAACCCACACATCCTTGATCTTGTAATAGGTATCTCTTTTGTACAATGGGGCGCTATTCAGCAGTTCGGTTTCCGTCGGGATGGTCTTGGAATGGTTCCTGGGAGTTCACACGGCATTGGATAGGTAACCTTGGATAGTTTTCTAGGGGGCAAGCAGTGGCAGACGAGGAATAGGACGGCGCAACGGCGCAGATATTGCGACTCTCGCTATGGATATCAGACAGACGGGCTTTCATTTCCTTTCCTCTTTAGAGCGTTTTATACCCTGCTTCCTTTTCATACACTTTTTGTACTTTTAGCTCGCTACCTATGTCTACACATGCTTATGTTTTATGTTTTTATTTCTTCTTTTATTTAAATCTTTCAAGGGCTTCTTCGCTAGACCAAATACTTTTACAAACCAGAATTACATTTCGCCAAGTCTTCTTTGGTATTATGGATGGGAATGGCGTCTTTGGGATATGCAATGGCAGGATGGACAGGCACGTGTAGGTAGGTATGGGCATATTTTCATCATCGAGAAATAACGGGTCATATTCGAGGCGCAAACATGTAAAGGGGTTAAGGGATAAAGGGCGATGGATAATTGCGACTAAGGGGGGATGTCTCTGGGTTTAGATGAGAGGCGTTTTTGGAAATAGTAGCTTATTTACTAGGTATTCTATCCAATATCTTTAGGCGTTCATCGTGATACATGCATCCCATTTAAGTAACCGCTGGATCATCTGTCTCATATGTGGAAGACTTATTCATTTGGACTTACCATGACAAAGTCAATACCGATAGTTTCCAGATATCAGGGTATCTGCCTTACGTACCTAGTATCCTTGGGTATTATGTTTGCCACATCCTTTGTGCCATTATTTCTTCTAATTTGTAATGTGAACCTACTCTATTCCATCTGAGCCACGATGCTTTTTAAGGTATACTCACAGGTTCATAGTTTCAAATCATCCATCATATCCTCTAGAATGTGCCACCTACTATCTCCCTCCCACGCCTCCTTTGCCTTTCCCATGACGCTTCGTACAGCGCTCCTAGCCTTTCCTTTCCATCTACTCCCAATGCTTTCCACGCGGGACCCATAGTTCTCGTACGCGGCGACCAACTCCGATGTCCTCTGTACCAAGCTGTCCCATGCCTCGGGATCTATAAGCCAGCTCCCTAACCCTCCTCGTGTCCCATTCGATGCAGACAATGCACTCCCTACACTACCCAAGGCCGTCCGCCACGCCTTCTCTGCCGCGTCTATCGCACCCGCCCAATCCCTCCTCCAGGCGCGTAGTCGCGATACTAGGGACCAGCAGGCAGAGTTAGTCGTTATAAGAGGCACGACATCGTTTTCGAACAGCGATACGACTTTGCTTTCTATCGTACCCCGTGCCACTTCGTAGAGACCCTCGGTATCTCCATCGCCATTCGCTACTACTACAGGTGTTTTGGTGACCTCCCTGACAAGCAGGGTTAGTATGTCAAGATCTAGCGTCTCTTCCACCTTGCGAATTCGGATCACGTTTCTCACACCAAGAACTACGTCGTCTAAATCAGGACTGGGTGATAGGCTTGCTGCGAGGGTAATCACGTTATCCCAAATCCTCCAATTCGAGTCGGCCAGTGTAGCTCCACGCTTGAAAGCCACTAGAGAGTCAAGCAATAGCTTTTGAGCCGACTTTCCTGATTCAGCTGCTTCCTTCGTGTTGACCATATCTTCCAAGGCTACCGGATCATCATTCTTGAGCTTGTCTTGGTGATCCTTTTTCTCCTGGACGACCTGACGGTGCCAGCTTAGAAAGGCGGTCCCGAGGTTGCTCCATGTTCGCGCATCTTCTCCCCCAGAGACATTGTTCGCCGTCGAGATGGCTCTTTGAAACGCCTCGGCTGCTCTGGGGAAATTACCAAGACGCAACTCGATATCACCCAGTCTGTTCCACATCTCAGGGTTTAGTCTATTAACCCCGACAGCGAGTAGGTACGCATCTCGAGCTTCTTTCCATTCGTTTTTTCGTAAATGGAGCTCGCCGAGCGACCTCTGCGCCCTCGCAAAGCGTCGGTTGGAGATCTCCCAAGCCCGCTGGTAGTGCTGGGGGTCGTTCTCGATATCACCCAGAATGCAGAACAGTCGGGGAGCATTTGGGGGAGGCGGTGAACGTTCGGGGCCGCTGAAATTGGATGCTTTTAGAGCAGAGATATCAACCTCAGCATCTTCCAAATCATCCTTGCCCTCTATGGAGTCTCCCATAATAGAAGAATTGTCATCATTAGGAGTCTGGTGAAACAGCCTCCATCTGACAACTGCTCGAGCCTTTTCTTCGCCTCCGCTTCCTCGGCCATCCTGGTCACCGGCCGCTGCGCTACTAGCTAGGCAAAGCGCAACTTCAGGCCAAAGACGTAATCGTTTGAAGATCTCTAAGGCCGAGACCAAGGACCCAACTGAAGTCCAGGCATAGGCAAGCTCAGACTCGAGATGCCAGCGCGGAGGGGAAGATAATGCGTTGACGTATTGTAGTCTTTCCTGTGGAGACGCTAACTCGGAGGCTTTGGCGACGGGGAGAAATGATGTTGGCTTTTGGGGATTCGTGGAGGCGCCTGTCTGGTGCTCGGGGGTGACTTGGATGCTGGGTATATTTGATTCGGTCTTTGAATCATCCTCACCATTGATCGGAGAACGGATTACCTCTTGTGTGTCAACAATCACTTGGTCCACCAGAGCTTGTAATTGTAGTACCGCACGCTCGACGGTTCGACTTCTATTGAGTTCAATTCGAGACCTTGTCAATAAAGCTTGGGTGTAAATTTGCCAATTGGTAGATTTGTCATCGATTACACGAAGGGCAAAGGGCAAGATTTCTTCCAAGGTCAATGAATCTGAAGGAGAGAATGTATCCCTTATAGTAGCTTCTGCTAGTAAAATGATATGGTCCTCTGGACGAAGTTGTGGCTGATCTTCTGGTTTGACGCCCTGTAGCTCTTGGGGGAGAGAGGTAAACCCCCCGTCCGTTTGGGAATCATCAAACTTGATTTTCTCTAGCAAAGTATCATCATTTAGTGGTAGTGCAACTGGTGTTGCCTCCGACTCATGGTCTTGGTTGGGCGATATGGGTGCTACGGAGAGACTCTTTGCCAGTACAATCAGTTGGCTGACATTCTTCTCCTGGAACTTGGTACGCTTCCCAAGTGCGCCAGAAAGGGCGTATACAAAGCCACTCAGTTCAGTAGCTCTTTTCAGGCTTTGTCTAGCTTTTGTGTCATTTCCAAGCATGACGTGGCAGGCTGCTTCCTCTAAGCGAAACTGAATGCGTGAATCACGGGGCCACTGGGACTGTTCCGGGTTTCCATCATTTTCAACTGAGCCCACCATAGAAGTCTCTGCTTCTAAGAGGCTCGTCTCAATGACCTCCTGAAGGGTGGGCACATCAGTCCAACGACCACTCTTCGTAAAAAGAGACCCCGGTCCTAAAGATGGTTGCGATATAAGTTTGTAATGCCAAAGGTGAATTCTAAGCCGAGTCCAGGATAAATATGAAGATAGTGATTGTTTGGGGCCAGAACCGGTTTCAGGCGACTTGGTTGGTAGTATAATATTTGATGTAAAGATGAACCGCGACAGGCAAAAGAGCTCAACGTAGGGTATATATGGATAGGGGGAAACACCATCTACATCGAGCGATCTAAGGCAAAGCCTCCTGAGATGAGCTATCGCCGCCTCTCCACTGGCTGGTTCTATTCGATTTACTAAATCGCCTGAAGACTCCGCCTCTGTTTCTGCCTTTGCAAGGCCTGAGATGAAGATGTCTTGGACTGCCCCAGGATTTTCGAGGACCGGGCCTGTAACATTTGCTTGCAGGAAAGCATTCAGAGATGCAAACCCTAGGCGAATGGCTAGTGTGGTATCATAGGTCCCATTGATCGTCCCTGAGACGGAATCATGGTCCGTTTGCTTCTCAAGCGACTGAGCTACTATATGTCTGCTAAATTGGACCACCAATTGCTGTGCTGACTCATCATGAAAGGCCTGCAGGAAAGATGAGCCTTCGAAGGATGTTGCGAGGGATATAATTTTGGCGGGAGAGAATTCGTGGCCTGCCATGTTGCACTCTTGTATCGTTTTTTATGAGCCTGAATGGTTTAGCTTCTGTTTATAAATTAATCACTTATTCATATGCGATTAAATGAGATGACAAATAGAAGAAATAGTGGAAGAATATGCCCTGCTAGGTACCTACTCAGGAAGATGTAGAAGCCTTTCTGGCCAGCAAAGTGAATGATGTGTATGAATATCGAATTTGTAATATGTATATCCTCTATGTACCCTGAGGTATCTTCCTACCTACCAAACCATTGTATGAAGCAATATGATATAATGGCGGGGGAGGGGCAATCTTGTTCTAACTAAATTTTCTCCAGGGCTTTTTTACTTTTTTCCCTGTTGGCCTATAATTCTCGCTAATTGATAAACCCTTATTTAGGCATAGACGATAATAATAAACAGTATATGCAGAATAGTAGTGATACCTAGTATAGTAAACAACTACTGTAGGTTAGCACGCGAGCTTCGACTTCATTCTCAAAGAGCATTGAGCAGCAGTAAATCGTCTTCTTTTTGGTATTCCCAGTATTCCCACATTCCTACATCAGCATGTGCTGGGACTCGTGAATACCTACACATTTTAGGCTATCTACCTACTACATATACATAGCAGGTACTTAGGACTACGTATGTAGGTATTCCTTATTCCTCAATTCATTTTTCATGTTTCTCATCGCGAGTGGCATTTCCCTTCTCTCATATTTTTCCTCGTTAGTACGTATCCATCATCAGGTCTTTTGTCCCTCATTTCTTTCCCTTCTTACGTCCTGGAACCACCTTGAAGCCAACACCTTGCATCGAATTGGCTTCATTATTTGGCTCCTTATAGCTGCTCTTTTTAGCCACCTCATTCCAGCCACCTGCCGTGCTTGACTGTATGTCTGCTGATGGACTCTTTGTCGGCTGCTTCTCCACCACTCCTCTGTCAGCCAACTTCTTGCGGCGAATAAACTCCTCCGCAAAGTGTCGCCCGTCCATAGTTTTAGAGTTGGCGTAGATAGCGTCCGAAATGATCTCTCCAACCAATGGGAACCCTATGAGCGTGTTGGCAAAAGCGTCGACTGCTCATCTCGTTAGCAATGTGTTCATACGCCATCATTAGGCTTTTAAACTTACTGTCCGTAACACCCGTGATTCCTTTCGTCAATTGCCCATGAAGCCACTTGGTAAATTCTTCCATAGCTTCTGTGTGTGTAGGTCCGGTTGCCGAGGCTGTAGGTTTGACAGCAGGTCGAGGCGAGGCAGTAGCGATAATAGTAGCAGCGGTGGTGGTAGCGGCTGTAGTAAAAGTAGTAGCAGCAGTAGGCGTAGCAGTAGGAGTAGTCGTAGATGTAATAGACATTGGTTTCATATTGGCAGAGCTCGTAGGTCGTACCTGGGAAGAAGGCCCAGTCGGCGCCTTGACTTTGCCGCCAGCTCCAACCGTAGCCCAGCCTGTTGACGTACTACCACTGGGAGTGGGAGAAGGCACAGCCGTGGTATTGGGCTTGCTGGCAAGATCTGCGTATCGTTTCCCAGCGTTCGATGCCACTCCAGCCTGTATGGCAATTTCCTTAGCCTTTTGCTTACGCACCTCCTCCTCACGCTGTATTTCGGCCAGTGTCTTCTTTCTATCCGAAACCTGTGTTTGAGTCGTCGGTCCTGATGCTGGTACCTTTCCAGGGGCTGGCTTGGCCCATGGGCTGCTGGTCGTCGCAGGGGTAACAGGAGACGAAGTTCCCCACGTACTGGTAGTAGGTAAGCCTGGAATCGTGGTAACAGTTTTTTCCCGTTCTCGAGCTGCTTCCTGCTCAAGAACAGCACGTCGAGCAGCGGCAGCGGCCTCCTCTGCTTTAGCTGCCTTGAGAGCCTCAGCCTGTTGAATCTCTTTGAGGCTGGGCCCTTTGTGATGAGACTCCACGCCACCATCCTTAGCCCACGGTGCGAGCGGTGGAGGCTGGGCAGTAGCAGAAGAAGGCGTAATTTCTGGTGTACCAGATCTAGAACTCGTCGCGTATTGCTCTGGGAGATTGGACTTGACACGCTGAGGAGCAGGAGCAGGTAAGGGAGTTCCCGAAGGCGGAGGTGGAAAAGGCATTGGAAGTCCACTGATCTTTGCCGTGGCGGTAGCTGCTTGGGCCTGCTGATACTGTTTGTGGAACGAGGCTGGCTGGTCTCCCTCGGCCTGGCGACGTGCCGTTACCGCAGTAGGGGATTCTTCAGGAACACGTTCGGCTTCGGTGGTCTGCAAAAGTGGGCTTGTCTTTCTTGACACCTGCGCTTGTCCACCAGCTATTTCGTTAAGAGGCGAGGATTGCCTCTCCATCATTTCGGCCTCATGCTGTGCTCGGAGCTTTTCAAATTCTTGCAACCGTCCTCGGAAGCCCTCTGCATCTTCAGCAAGTTCACTGGTGCCGGGTAGCTGACTGCGCACGCCCGACTCTGAAGTCTGTCCACCAATAGGATGCGGTGGGAGGTTGCCGCTCATAATGTTCGTGTTGTGCAAGCCAGCTAATATCTGGCGTTCTGGTCCCGACAGGTGAGCCAGCTCTTCCTCCCTAAACATCTCTAGCTTTTGTCCTCCAGCTTGATGTGTTGTGGACGGGTCGAAAAACGTGCTCGTGGATCCAATAGCCCCGATGTTAGATTGCGGAGGCATTGTGATGGGGGACGTAATGCTACCGAAGCTCGGTTGACTCTGCAGACTATGGGCGCTAGAATGGTGATGCAATCCCGGAACACCAGGCATAGGAACCCTGCCCATCGACTGTTGGGTATAGAATTCCCTGTGCCGAGCCAGTAGATACTGCTCCTCTTGCTTGCGCCTTTCGAGGTTGTTCTGTTCCTCCGCAGTCAAGGTCCTACCAAAACTAGGGAAGGCATTCACTAGAGGTGGTTGGATCACGCCTCCGGAATTAGAGAACGGGCCGGTCTGCGCCGGGGGGCCATGAGGTATGCCGATTTGAGGAACAAGGAAAGGCTCGCGAGAGTTGCCAATCCGTCTTATCAATTGGCCCAACGGCTCGAATTCAGAGTCTTCCAGCTTCTTCACGCGCAAGTCGGGCGTGAAAAAGTTAGCTTTGTACCAGTCGTTCATCTCTAACCCTGTGAATGGGCCCTGCTGATGACCTTGCGGATCGAGATACACCCATCTCATTCGATCGGGCATTACCATAGTTCGAGACTGAACCGATGGGGGATCCGATGTTTGCGTGGCCGGGTACGATGGTGCGCCACTCGTAGGCGTGAACCCCTGACCGTGGGGGGCGCTGGGGACGCCGCCATGCAGAGCTTCAGAACTCACTGGGGTTCGACTGGATTCAGTAGGAGCAAACATGTCGGCGAAGATACCTCTACCGGTGCGCATAGGGCTGTCCGTTTCACGATTATGTTCACCAGGAGCAGTACGTCCAATAGCACCCAGAGGATTTGGCTGACGAAGATCAGGAATCGAGTCACTCAAACTTTCATTGTCCTGGGATTGCATTTGTGCTTGCATAGCCGGAGGAAACAAGGAGCCAAGCTTACTTGCTCGACCGAATGATCCGGAGCCACCGAACCCAGCTGTACTGACAGGGCCGAATACACCACCGAGATTGTTCAGGTTGGGGGATTGGAGATCACCAACGGTAAATAGCGAACCCCCGAAACCGCCAAATGGTGCACGCTCACGATCTGGGGTGCTCGAAGATGGCCAGCCAGTCAGGTTGCTTAGCGACGGATACGCTTTTGCACCCACGCTAGAGGTTTGGCTTCGATCACTGCCGTCAAAAGCTTGAACGAAGGGTCGTGGCACACCCCCACCATAGCCATGTAGTCTCTCTCCCATTTCCTCCTGCTCAACACGGTCGCCGGGAGGACTTCGAAAGGGGTTTGTTTCTGATGGACTCAGAGGTGTCGGGTCGTGTTCCGCATGACCTCCAAGATTGAGACTAGACATCCCAAAATCGCCGGTAGAACCTTTCATTGGAGTGTCATACGACGAAGTGTGCAGAGGCGGATGAGACATTGGAGGGGGGCTGGTATCTTGAGCACCTCCCAATACAGCACTACCTGAGACATTATCATCACCAAAGGGGTCTGTGTCAGTACGCTGTCGAGGACGCCAAACACGACCAGGGTCCGGAGTAGTGACCTCAGCCGATTTCATCGCAATGCTGTCAGAACTCTCCTTTGGGATCAGATGCGCTAGTCGGCTTTCGCCACGAGGATTCCCAGGCCGCTTGTCTCCAAGCGTAGAACCCGGAAGAGCAAAATTTCCGAAGCTACCTATACCTGGTAAAGTGGTCGCGGTTGAGGTATGCCATGGAGAAGTTCCACCAAAACCTGCTCCGCTCGGGGTTGTGTTGTTACGCACCAAACCACCAAAGGTGAGATGTTGTTTGCTAGCATCGCGCATACTTGTATCCTCTTCGGGCTCCTCAAAAGTCGAGTCTTTAAGGTCCGTGTTCTTTCGGCCAAACCACAATGACGTCTCCTCTCGGGTCGTTCGTGTTGCAGAAGTGGGAGAAGTTAAACCCCCACCGCCGGAATAAGGGTTCGTATCGGTCGTTTCGCGTCGCCGAGTACCGGGCCTCGACGCAGCCGAGGGAGAAACCAACCCAAAATTACTAGAGCTTCCGTGTGAGAGCGAAGTCTTGCGACCGTTTAAGCCCCCTCCTGCATGATTTCCATCCTTATTCTGAGCTGGCGGCTTTATAGCAGAATTGACGTCGGATGCGAACAACTGGTTTTACGGTCAGCCCATATGCTAAATTGTCTCTTGATATTGAGGACTAGAGACTCCACCCACCTCTTTTTCCTCTGAATTCATATCTTGTAGACCAACAGCCTTGGTAGCTCCCGGAACATCCCAACAGATGTCAGGTTCTTGAGGAGCGACAAGAGACTCGCCCGTCTTCCCCCAACCTCTGGGTGTGGTGCCGTTGACGTGTCCCGGATTCCATCCATCCACAAACAAGGCGGAAACGTCGGATCGTTGATATGTGGCGTCTTGGGTATTGCTGTAAATGGACAAGAGCTGGTCTCGAGAATATCTCAAACTACCAGAAGTGTCGACGTTGGTGGAGCCAACAGGCATTGCGGATATAACAGCAGGGTCAGTAGAGGCCGAATGAATAGACTCGGACGAGGCCTGCATCTGGTTTAGAGATTGGCTTGAAGGAGTAGCCGATGTCCGTCGGAAAGTCAGCGTGCCACCATTGGTTGATCGTCCTTGTCGAGGCCTGTAATAGGGGGGAAAGGAAAACAACGAGTGTCAGCTTGGCAATGAACGCATTAGGGGGGGTTTGTGGGGGTAAGAAGGGTAGGGCGAATATTATGACATTAAAAGACGAAAATCAATTTACCATTCCCCGCTAGGATTTCCTCTACCGTCATTTCTTACACCAGATCTCGTATCACGACTCGAATTTTGGCCAGCTGCAGCTGAAGCGAAACTTGAGGGGAGGTTTGAAGGCATGGCAACTAATATAGGAGGCTGTAGCCCTACGACAATGAGAGATACGGCCTATGAGCAACAATTGTTGTGCAAAATTAAGATGGGCGTCTGGGGCGTCTGGAGCTTCGTGGGAAAATCGAGACACTGAGCGGACAAAGTGTGGGTAGGAGGAGATATATCGAGGTTTGACAGGTTTTCGTGTCCTAGGTTGGGGGTCAGTTATAGCCACGCGCAAGGAAAAGCAAAGCGAGATGCAGGTTATAGGCAGATGGCTATAATAGCAAGGGTAAAAGTGATGATGAGACTTTCGAGGGGGGAAAACGAGACGGAGAGAAAAGTTTAGAATGCATACGGGATTGAGTGATGTGAGAGTGAAAGGCGAATTGAGAGCGAATTGTAAAATTGGTCAAGACCGTCAGTCGATGTTTTATTCGTTAAATGAATTATCGATGCTGCATGGAATATTTCGAATATTCCTTGCGTTGTCGCGGAAATAACAATGACCTTTTCGGTTTGTTAAGTTGTTTGGGTTGAAATGCGTTTAGTGTTTGGTTGTTGTTCTGCAGGATGGGTGGTGAAGTCGAGTTCGGCTTAGAATCTTCTTCTTCTCTTCTTTCCTTTTTTTTCTTGGTGACGACTGTTAATAAAGTTCCTATATTTTTTTTAATCTTTGCGTTGTCGAAATTTCAAGGTGGATGGGAAAATAAACGTTCTAACTGGGTAGAGACCCCACGAGCCACAAACGTTTAAACCCCAGTTGCCCAAGGTACAGTACAAACCTTAGGAATTCAATCATTTTCAATGATAATTCCCATGCAGCCCATGTAGCTGCCTGCCCCAGCCACAGCAAAGCGGGACCTTACATAAGTACACTAGCCTAGTATGTACTAGATTGGTATACCTAGTTATAGTTACCACCTACTTATTACCTAATGTCGTAAAACGCTTCAAGTTGAATCTAGCGAAGCCCTACATACTAGTTACTAGGTACCATTGTGAGGAATTACGTTTCTACTGAAGGAGGGTATGCTTATAACAGAGGTCTTACAGAGACCCTACTACTAGTACCTAGTACTATTCGCATCCATTGCGCCCATCGCACAAAAACAGTTCACACCTCTCCATGTACATACATACTAAGCATATAACCTATGTATGTAAGTTTTAAATTTATTCGTATGTATCTATCAAAAGAGAGAAAAGCCCACAATAAATACATGTTATACCTTAGGCAAATACCTAGTACCTACTACCTAGACACCTGATATATCGCATACTACCAGAATGAGCTTCCTAAATCTCCTTAAAACCCCCATTGCTTACACCAATGCTTCATCACCTCAGGCGTCACAACATTGGTAGCCTTCATAGTTGCACTATGCTCTGTCGTGCGCTTGGTATCAAATACCACGGGCTCTTTACCCGCGTCCGCCATGCCTCGATACGAATCCAACAATTTGATGCCTGGGTTTTTATCTAGGGCCTGGGCATCGCTGCCCTGGCTTTGTTCCAGTCGCTGAACCCAGTCCCCGAAACTAATCAACTCTGGAATCCGTTCTTTCCCATAGAACTCTTGAACCGCAGGGGCAAGTTCCTCCCAAGTCGTAGCAGACGGATTGACGCCGTGGTAGTACCCATTGATGTCGTCAGCAATGACTTTTTGAGAGACGCCAGCAACCTCAAGGACCAAGTTCGCAATCCGTTCAGCTGGTGTCCAGTCGACGCGGTTCATGATACCAAGATGGCTGGGAAGTGCTTTCATATGCAAGCTGCTTGCAATGATAGATGGGAGCCACTCATGTTTGTTCCAACAGCCAGCATCCGACTCGGGTCCAGCAATCTGTCCAACCCGGATTATCGCTGCCGGAAACCCGCCTGCTTTGGCCGCATCGTCGAGAATAAGACTTCCGACCATCTTACTGCGTCCATAGCCCCCTCCGGCCAATCTGAGGTCTTCCAGTCTTGCCTCCGGCACCTGCCCATTTTTGTTATCCCAATGGTCTGCTGTCCCTATCGAGGAGATGAATACGACAGCTACGCGTTTGGACGAGCTAGTAGCAAAATCTGCAATGTTCCTGATGCTTCGGATATGGGGCTCGAATGATTCGACCGGGATGTTGAAGTTGACAGTCCACGCATTGTGGATCAGACGGTCCGCCTCACTCAGCAACCTTTCATACACATCGCTAGCTAGGCCGAAGTCCGATCGTGACATGTCTGCGTGCAGAAATTCGGCCTTGGACACATAATCAGGGCTGAGACCACGGTCTTCAACAGCTTTCGCCTGCTGTTTTGCACCACCGTCCTGTGCCCTATTCAAGCAGATGACTTTCTTGACCATGGGGCTTTTAGTCATGATATCCAGTATGTAGGAACCTAACATGCCAGTGCTCCCGGTAAGAATAACTGTCTGATCCTTGTCCTCTGGATCCGGTCTTCTTTCCCCTTTTGTAGGAAGATCACTGGTGTACTTCTCCCAGAGAGCCTGCATAGCTTGTAGCTCATGCTCCTCATTCCTCCCTAGTTTAGATTCATCTCCTTCTTGCAAAACAGAGTAGATGTACTGCCCAAGCTTTCGTGGCGTTGGATGCCCGTAGATGGCCCGAGTGGCTAGGGTTGACGGGTCGATGTGAACTCCAGATTCCTCTAGTGCAGAGCGAAGGAGACGAGAGGCATTGATGACCTGCAGGGAGTCAATTCCGGCAGAAAAGAAGTCAGTGTCTTGGTCAAGGTTCCCCTTGAAATTTAGTCTCGTTTGGAATATCTCCTTGATTGATTCTACCAAAGAGTCCTCGGAGCTGATATCAATGTGGGGAGCAACTGCTTCAAACCGCTTTTCAACTCCTTCATATGTCTTGTCGATCTCGTCCGCATAAAGTTTCAAGGTTCCCGCTCTCTGGACAGTTCCCTTGCCGGCACGAAGGAAAGGCTTGCTAGGATTAGCCAATGCCATAAACTCACGTCCTATATGTCCATGAGCTACTGTCTCTTTGTTTGCTCGGTCGACATACGGCCAGATTCTATCAAGCAGCTTTTCAGCTTCTTCATCGTTTGCGGGACTTTTGGTGGGCTCTATCAAAAGTCCAGGTTGAAAGCGGCCAGTTCCAACCACCAGGACACCCTTAACTTCGGGGTGTCCCACCACGATCTCTTCAATCGTGACCGGGTTCAGCTTTTCTCCGTTAGAGAACACGATGATGTTGTCCGACCGCCCGTAATAGATCCAGTGGTCTGGGATGGTTGGGTGGGGCTTGTACATGTCCTTAGTATCGTACTCATCGATATCAGGGAAGGTGTAAAAGAAGCCCTGAACGCCAGGCTTCTTGTCCTTTCGTACGATAACTAGGTTATAAGCATCTTCAGTATCCTCGACTTTACGCCAGTCTGCCCCAAACGCATCAGAGTCAAAGATGAACCATTGCCAGAGATCGCGGTTTGGCTGGAAATATATGGGATAGGGAGTGAATCTATTGGCATGTTAGCTAGGTATGTAAAGCCTTAATCAAGAGTAGCGACTCACTCCGTAGCACCAATCACATTTGACAGTCTTATGCCATTCTTGACCAATCTATCACCTGCCTCTTTGTTCAAGTTCCCTATAAAAGGTTAGTCAACACCACAAAAGCCTCGAATTTGTTACATCACTAACCTCCACCAAACGACACGAGATTAAGCTTCGCTAATGCTTGGATGTATTCCTGGCTTTCACTCATCTCTTCCAACATGGCCGGCGGAAGCACAGTTCCAGCAACGTCTGCGTTCGCAAGACACTCCACGACTAGATCTGCAGATAAGGGGCGGTCACCGATTCCGAAGGCGATTGGAGTTTCCCAGTATATTGTGGAAAAGAGGAAGATGTATAATCCGGCCGCGTGGAAAAGGGGCACTTAAAGCATATTAGCAGAGCTCGTTAGTATATAGAGATAATCGACTTACTCGGTAGAAAGTGCCTCTTCCCAGCATTCGCGAAGCCTTGCATCCAGGGTATATAGTCGCGGAAGGGTGGTAGGCTGCGATAAGCATCGCTGATGCATATCATTCCATTCGTAACAACAACGGGCTTAGGGAGTCCAGTGCTTCCACTCGTATGCATTACGCACACTGGGTCCCACTCGACTTGCTCGAAACTCTTGGTGTAGGGGAACGGCTCCACGTCTTCTTCACGAAACCATGCGTTGACTTCGCCGACTTCGATGGCCGTCATCTCTCGCTCCTGCGCCCATGATTGGACTAATTCCCGTTGTGGTTCAGCATGAGCAATAATTCGGCAATCTGTCTTGTCGAATAAATTTAGCTGGCCTTCCTGAGTGTTCCGGGGAGATATGAATAGAGCCTAAAATATGCCAAGTTAACATAATGGGATTCATATAGCCAAGTTCGAGAAAAAGTGTACCTTGTAACCAGCTTTGATGCACCCGACTAGGAACACCACGTAGCGATGGTCGTTGGGGCCAAGATAAGCTATGGTGGGATATGAGCCCGGGGTTGGGGCGCCGCAAGTCTTGATGATCCAGTGTGCGGCGCAGTTGATAGCATTCGCATACTCCTTGAATGTTACAACTTTCCAGCCATCTCCCGGATTGGAAGAGCGAGGTGAGGAATAGGCCTCCCTTTTAGGATCCTTCTCAGCAATCTCATCGATCACAGTAGGAATAAGTCGACGTCCATAGTCCGGCATACTTGTCTGTTATCGTGATATTTCAGTTATTGCTATTCTTGTCCGTAAAAGCTACTCATTGACTTCTTGTCTGGGACTTCAAGGAAAGAAACCTACCTCGTAAGTATAGTAAGGCTGCGATGTTGACTTGCTGTACGTTAAGTATTATGCGGTCAGGTAGTCAAGTAATAAGCAATTTGGAAGCTGATATGTTGCTGATGCCACCCCCCCAAAACATAGCGACAACCCTACGTTATTATAATCAGATGAATACCTACATTTCGCGTCTTCGGCTTATAACCTATCGCTTCTTCGGATAGGTCTGGTATCGCCGATAGGGGTTACCAGGTAGGCTCTATTGTCTATGTAGGTTTAATGGTTTCCCACTAGATGGAAATGCAACAATCAGCGCCCGAAACTGCCGCACCCCCTACTGCGGGATTCAACCAGGGTGATCCAGCCTGGACAGAAGAGTAATGTGGTATTGCAATGGCAAGTAACTGAGTAAGCGCCGAATTCCGGAGTACCCAGGACATATCAAGATGAAGATGAGCCGCTCACATGGCAAAGCTGAAGTTGTATGATAGGCCAATGACCGAAACTTTGAGCTGAAAAGGTCACTCAATAGTTCCCCATCAGGTTACACATATCCAGAGGGTTCTACGAATTAGCGAATTAGGAGTCTGCTGGAAGCTAGGACTGGACGTGAAGGTGCATGAGGCTCGATGTATTTTAGGGATTATTCCCGGCGATACTTACCCAAGAGTCATCTCTTAGCGGTAAATCAGAGGGCCATGATTAGCCAGAAAGCCAGCGATTCGTACTTCGTATAAGTGACACAATGGTTTTCCAAAGCAACCAAAGCGACTCATGGTGTATAAGTCAGTCCCCCAATGGGACCCCACAGCAGTGTGGAATAAATGCATTATTCCCGAAGCTGGAATGTATATGAACTAGGGACCGGTAACATAGGTAGGTACACAACGTGATTACACCACAGCTGCGATGATGAGATCGCCCACACCCCAATATTCAAACAATAGCTTTACATGACCGGGAAATTCAAATTCATGGTCATCGATGCTACGTTGAAAGTTGATAGGTAGTAGCCCCATTCCCCCCCTTTTTTTCATCCAAACTCCCGAGGCTCGGCACGCTGGCCCCATTTAATACCACGAGGGCGTGACATCACCAAATAAAGCCGATGCAATTCCCGGCTTTGGTAGTTAGACGGAACCTCGACGGGGCAATGTGGGTTGCATAATTTGACTTCATTCGGGCTTCGGAGTGGCGCATCGCCAAAGCCGTAGACAAAGCCGTTGAGAAAGCGGTGGGCTTTTGAGTGGGTACATTCATAAGAGAAGTCATTAGATAATATCGGCTTCATCCATCTACATATCACGGAGTAGCCGGAACGATCTTTTCTTGCCATAAGGTGACATAAATTATGGGTATAGGTATAGGAAATAATTATAACCACTTCTAACCTAACGGTACCTCAGTAATCACTCTTCTTTGCTCAAATATGTTTGTTTTAGGCATCCAGAAGAAAAGGGTTGATGTAAATTTACTACTGTGCTGCCCTTCAAACCAGGCACTAAAAGATTTATGTAGGGACAATTACAAAACTACACATATGTAACATTGACACAGTCGAAACCCTGTAGTTAATCGTATAATTCCTTGGCAAAGTCCTCGATCTGACATATGTCAAAGCAATGCAAAGATCTTCAACTAGGTATATTTATGGATCCTAGGGCGAAGATAACTAGATAATAATGTTAGAAAACATTAAAATCTAGCATGATACTTGTGACCTCCCGGGGGAACATACGAGGACTACTTATGGCTGATACCTCAAAGCTGTATAAAATCACTGCTGAGAATATTAGGGGTGAATTGTTGGCCGATGTCTCGCCTGCTTACTGACACGTATATTTCCGTAGGCACGTAGTCCTTAGCTGTAGGCTCACTGTTTTAGGTTACAAGGTGTTTCTTATGTTTTAGTTTGATGTCGAAACAATAATGCTGGGTTGGTAACTGTAGCATGCTTATGATGGAATCTTGCCATTGCAAGTGGATAATAACACATCTGATAATGAGTAGGACTTTAGAAATGGTGGTTTATCAACTCTTCTTATTCACGCAAGGGTAAGAACATTAGATACACCTCGAACCATAGAAAATCATGAGTAGAGACCCCCCCCCTGTGCCAATGGCTAACATTCCGCAAACTCATAACGCGTGAAATGTATTAGACAAAACAAACGAGACAACTCCATAAACTTGTTCAAGACTGCTTCTTCTTGCCCTTGTAGAGGTATCTATTAATAGTTAGCGGTTGTGGTTCGGACTTATCGGACCTGGGCCCTTTGGCCATTATAGGAAATGATGCTCACCGTCCAAATACTGCTTCTATGACACTAACGCCAGCGATGATACCAGCGCCAATACCAACGCTCTTCCAGCCAAGACGACCACGTTCATAAAGACCCCACGCCTTATAGCCTAGGTATGTGCTCAGTCCGATGACGGCAGTCAAGTTACCAACGACTAGCGCGGTGCTGGCCCCATCGCTCAAATTGCTGAACCACTGAGTGAGGAAGCTGTCGGCCTTTCGCGCTCGTCCAGAACCCTCCTTTCGCGCGAGGTAGGCCTCCGCGCGAGCACGCTCAGCTGCATCCTCTCTGTCGTGGCGGTCGGCCTGGGTATCTGTTTGAACATCTTGCTCCATGAAGTCGGAGGGCACAGTGCGAACGGAAGGGGTATCAACGTCGACTAGGGATGAGGTGCTTGCAGACTCGGAGGATACGATCTCTGGAGGTTGGGGTGCTGCGGCCTGCAGGAAATATGATCAGCTACTTGGTATCTTATAAAACATCCTGTGGCAAAGAGTGGCCCAAGTATGTACAAGCCCAAGTACATGCCCAAGCATAATCGACAATCATATGATCCGATCGTACGGGCATGATAGGTGCAAGCTATCTTGTACAAGTGGGTTATGATGGATAACGGTGGGCTGGGGTGGGTTGTGGTGGGAAGAAAGGACATAAGGTTAGTGGATGAGTAACAATTACTGACCTCTTCGGGCGTTTGCTTTGGGCCAGACGCAGCAGCAGCAGCGTATGACACTATTCGAGGATTGACATTAGCAAAATATTTTTCCCCCTTTGATCACATGTTGGCCTTGGCCCTGTCCTCGTCCCCGCAATCTACAACAGAATAGACATGAAGTAGACGTACTCTTGTATGAATGTTGAAGAGAAGTGTACTAGATAAGTACGTATGAATAATTTGGTCTGAGGATGTTGATGGTTATGTAAGTTTGTTAATTTCTTATGATCGAGTATGATTCAATCAGGTGGTGATGGTTCGAATTGATCCTGGAAAAAATCAAATAAAAAGACATGCAATAAAAAAGAGAAAAAGCGGCTAGATGTTGTGCATCTTCCAAGGTTGTACCATGGTATAAACGAATGATGGTTGACGTTGACTGGAGCTATCAAATGACGTATTCGCGGCTCCATTTATTCTACTACCTAGGGTAGGTATTCATCTATTCATCCTCCTTTGGGTAGTTAGATGCATAGGTACCCGGTATGCACTTACATCAGTAGATCTAGCCAAGTATTTAACTAAATTCTAGTGTACGAAGTACAATACAATACATACCCTAGATACCTAGCTATAACTAACTACCAATAAAAACAAGCAAAAATCACAAAAATGTTCTTTAGGGTTCCAAAGTTGATATTAAGATATCCATTCCTATTTTCAATGGTCAAATGAAATTTTAATGAATTGTACTACCATTATCACGATTCACTAGAATCACAAGAATCACTACACGACATCATGTAGCAGACATCTTACATGTCACATGACCCAACAAAAAGGCACGAACTTGCTGCAGTCGCACCGCATTCTAGGAAAACATCGTGATACTAAATATTGCCCACCTCATCATTTTCCCCATGTCTTTTGTTCAAAGGCTCTGGAGTCTTTTAATTCGAGCTGACATCCGGCGCATTACACAGAATAGCCACCCCTACCACGCATTTTGCGAATAATGTAATGCTATCATGGTGGCACCAAAGCAATTGAGGGTGTTACATGCCAACCAAAGATGAGGACATAATATACTTGCAGGCAAGTGTATAGGTACTGAATCGATTTGAGGTTTCTACACATTTGGAACACCCATCCTCCCTCAATCACCATATCATCTCAGCGCAATCAATTCGTGCCGAGGCTCATTCGAAGCACTTCAGTTTGGTTACATCATGTTGGCTTTGAATACCTAGGTACCTATTGTTCGGTATCGAATCGGCCTACTAGATGTGATATTGGACGTTAAAATGCGGACTTATATGTGTTAGCTTAGGGTGGCCACGTGACTTTCTCTTTCCAAGCTACTTTGGTCAACGTTTCCTAGCCCACCGGGCGTAGAGAGCAATCGAATGAAGTGATGCGGTTTGGTAGAACTAACCCATGAGGCCGTAGGGCTGTGCTTGGATAAACTATTATATATCCACGTGCAACTGTAAGGACACATGGCCGAGAGAGACATAAAAATGTGCAAAGCTTCACAACTAATTTTTGCTAGCCAGTATCGCACCTTCCATTGCTCTTACCATTTACCAATATGTACTACCTAGTACCCAGGGTATGTATGTAACTTTTAATTTATACTTTTTGTTCGGGAAGTGTTCCAGGCTTATTCAATTTAAGCCTTAAAACACTTACACAGCGCTAATATGGCTATATGGCTAATGCTGTTCGGAAACTTAAGCCGTCCCTTTTCGTTTTGTCAACCATATCAGCCGCATTGTGGGAGAAGATCATCAATCTACTAAGGATTTGGATCCGAAGAGCATCATTAGCCAAGATGGGACAAGAGTATCAAATCTATTTTATGTGTTGAACGCGGCGGGACTGTCGGTTGCCCTTCCGTGAATTTCCAGATCGGGCGAATCTATCCCTCCCCCATCCCTCCCCCATCCCTCCCCAGACACCTTAACAAGAAAAAACAGTGCTTAGCTTCAATGTTAGTCGAACAAGTGAATGCTACTTGCCATATAGGTAAGGCCATTATAAGATGAAAGTTAAATCTCTTTAATTATCTCAAGCGTTTCAGCACTCTTCTAGCTTGATTCATCGGGGGCTCGAATTACGGACGATGCTGTCTCCAATACTCGCCCTGCTGTTCACGACAGCAACTGCGGCTGTGACGATCGACTGGGATGCTGCTTACGAAAAAGCTAATGCGTCGTTATCGAAACTTTCACAGAATGATAAAATCAACATAGTTACCGGAGTAGGTTGGAACAAGGGTCCTTGTGTTGGAAATACGGCAGCTGCTAGTTCGATCAGCTATCCCCAATTGTGCCTCCAGTGAGTCAGTTAGTTTAAGATGGGACGAAATGAGAAATAACAAGCTACAGAGATGGGCCACTTGGGATCCGCTTCGGTGGCAGCGTCAATGCTTTTGTTCCGGGCATCCAGGCCGCTTCCACCTGGGATCGAGCCCTGATCAGGGAACGTGGGCAGTTCATGGCCGAAGAAGCAAAGGGATGCGGAATTCACGTCCTACTCGGGCCTGTCGCTGGTCCTCTCGGTAAGATTCCTACAGGCGGAAGAAACTGGGAGGGTTTTGGCGCCGATCCCTATCTTCAAGGAATTGCGATGGCAGAAACGATTGAAGGCATGCAAAGCGTTGGTGTTCAAGCCGACGCGAAGCATTACGTCCTGAACGAACAGGAGCTAAATCGTGAGACCATGAGCTCAAATATCGATGACCGAACACTGCACGAACTATATCTTTGGCCTTTTGCCGACGCCGTACATGCCAACGTAGCATCTGTCATGTGTTCATATAACAAGATCAACGGCACCTGGGCCTGCGAAAGGTAAGTACAATTCCTAGTCATTGTCACGACCAATGACACTGCTTAGACATAGCTATTTACCCTACCTTTACCGCGACTAACTTGAGATATTACAGCCCCTATGTTTTGGACACTCTCTTAAAACAGGAATTGGGCTTCCGAGGTTACGTGATGACGGATTGGAACGCGCAGCACTCTACTGAACCAGCGGCGAACTCTGGGTTAGATATGACCATGCCCGGCTCTGACTTCAATGGTGGATCTATATATTGGGGCTCTAAGCTGAGCCAGGCTGTGAGTAGCGGAAAAGTTGAGCAATCGCGTCTCGATGATATGGTCCGCAGGGTGCTTGCTGCATGGTATTTAGTCGGCCAAGACAGCAGCTACCCCAGCATCAATCTCAAAGCCAATGTGCAAGGGACCCATAAGACTAATATACGTGCCACAGCAAGAGATGGGATCGTCTTGTTGAAAAATGAGGGGATACTACCCTTGCAAAAGCCTAGCAAGCTGGCGTTGGTCGGCTCCGCTGCCGTTGTTAACCCCCAGGGCATGAACTCCTGTACCGACCAAGGGTGCAATACCGGGGCCCTGGGAATGGGTTGGGGCTCAGGCACTGCCCCTTATTCTTATTTTAGTGCTCCTGCTGATGCCATCAAGACTCGTGCTCAAGCTGACGGCACCCAAATCAGCCTCTCCGCGTCCGACAGCACCAGCTCCGTAGCCTCGGCTGTTAATGGTGCCGATGTCGCCATTGTATTTATCACGTCAGATAGCGGCGAAGGATACATCACAGTAGAGAACCATGCGGGAGACCGCAACAACCTGGACCCTTGGCATAATGGAAATGACCTTGCCAAGGCCGTTGCAGCAGCGAGCGACAACGTTATCGTGGTTGTTCACTCTGTAGGCCCAGTCATCCTCGAGACCATACTTGCCCAACCCAACGTCAAGGCAATAGTGTGGGCTGGGCTTCCATCTCAGGAGAATGGCAATGCTCTCGTTGACATCCTTTACGGCGATACCAGCCCCTCTGGCAAGTTGCCTTATACCATTGCCAAATCAGCCACGGACTACGGTACTAGTGTCTCTAGCGGTAATGATGACTATCGGGAAGGCTTGTATGTTGACTATCGCCATTTTGACCAAGCGGATATCGAACCCCGTTACGAGTTCGGTTATGGCTTATGTAAGTTCAATCTGCCAAGTTCCATATAAGTGTGCACTCACTAAACCCCTGATAGCCTACACCAACTTTACCTACGCGGACATATTCGTTGATGGAAGGCCTACATCCGGCCCAGCAACTGGTGACATCATCCCCGGAGGACGTGCCGATCTATGGGAGAAAGTAGTAACCGTCACTGTCACCATTACAAACACCGGTACTGTTCAAGGAGCTGAGGTGGCTCAACTGTATCTCAGCTATCCAGAGTCAGCGAAGACACCACCGAAGCAGCTTCGCGGATTTGAGAAGTTATCGTTGGAGCCAGGTGCGTCTGACGTCGTAGCCTTTGACGTAAAAAGACGGGATATAAGTATATGGGACACGGCGGCAAAAGAATGGGTGGTTCCTGCGGGTACTTTCAACTTTACTGTTGGCGCAAGCAGCCGTGATATCAGGCAGTCGGGTACGCTCGAAGTTGCGTAGCTGTAATGTAAAGCAAGAATGAGTACCTAGTATTTATATCTCCCTGGAAACCTATCTATGTACCTATCGTATAAATATAGGTAAAAGTGGTATTAATGAGCAATATAACTGGAACTGACCCGTCAATATATATAACTCTTGAGGTTACTAAATATGATATGACCTTAATACTAAACTCCAGTATGCTATACACATATATCGACCTGCTGGGTATATGTGATTCGTGACTCAGCACTCTCAACTTATTGCACTGAATAATCACTAATCATCATGCCTAAAGTGGCATGCACTTCTTAGGTTCATTGCTGGGCACCTGGGCATTCTTAGTTTGTTGTCTCTTGGTTCGGGTCATCTCCAGGGCTGGTTCGAATTTTAGTAGTAGTGGATTAGGGGGAAGACTGAAAAAGGGAAAAGGGGGGGCAAGGCCGAACTCTACCCTAGGTAGAATTCAAAACATATTGTCTATGAGAGTACCACGAGTCTGTGACCTATGTTTTCGTTGCTACCCTTCAACATCTACGCTGTTCATCTCTTCTGTCACTGTCATCCTAAATACCTCAAAAACGCCACCAAATTGTCTCGGACAAAAGTTTGATGAAGCTAGTTTAGGGGCAGGCACTGGTTGTGGTAGTCGACCATTGATAGCTTCAATGTTCTGTAGAATCTGTATACCTATAGACATGTAGTCAATTTTGACACAGTGTGAGGATACCAAGGCCGGAGTATCAGATGCGGCATATGTAAATAGTTTTACCTAGTAGGTATGCACTATATGTGTAGGTACATACCAAGATATGTAGTATGCAGTAGATGGCCTTTGTATTTGGACTATCAAGCTTGGAAGCTTCAATGTTGTACAACATTTACACTAGTAGTAGGTACTAGATACTATGTATCTTTATGAATCATTGAGAGATTCAATGTGGATGATACTTACACTTACATGAAGTATAAGTACCTACCTAACCTAGTGCCTGCCTACATGATTCTAAATACTAGTACATACTATCATCATCGATAGCAATCATAGCATCTCTTCACCCCCACTGCTGACGTCTTTTCCCCCTCCAAAAAATTAGACCGCCTTCCAAACTTCCCCAAGAATTCTTACTTTTAAGAAGAGTAATCTGTAACAACCCCAATGCTTCATAAAGCACGCCTTGGTCGCTGTCTTCTCCTCCCAACGAGACAAACCCTTTGCTCACGAAGTCCTCAGCCAATTCTCAATCTCAACTTCTCACGATACTCAAGCTCCAACTCGGACTCCAGCTCCAGTTCTAGCTCCGATCAAACCTCTTCCATCTACACTGAGGCTTGGCGTGCAATGTCACCCTCAGAGATCTCAACGTATCTGAAGCAAACGCACGACCGCGTCTTCGAGCACAATCGCGCCTGGGCTGAGGAGCAAAGGCAAAAGGATCCTGAGTTCTTCACCAAGCTCTCGGCGGGACAAACCCCAGAGTACCTTTGGATCGGATGTAGCGATTCGCGCATCCCCGCCGAGCAGATCACGGGTCTAAAGCCGGGCGAGGCATTCGTTCATCGAAACATTGCTAATCTAGTCGTCAACAATGACCTCAATGTCATGAGCGTTATCAACTATGCTGTCCGGCACCTGCAGGTCAAGCATATCGTCGTGTGCGGACATTACGGCTGCGGTGGTGTCAAGGCTGCCATGACACCCAAGGACCTTGGACTGCTCAACCCTTGGCTTAGGAACATCCGTGACGTTTATCGCCTGCACGAGAAAGAATTGGATGGGATTGAGGGCGAAGCAGCTCTGTACGATCGCCTGGTAGAGCTCAGCGTCGTCGAGCAGTGTCGCAACGTCATCAAGACAGCTGCCGTGCAGCAGTCCTATGCCAAGAACCAGTTTCCCGTAGTCCACGGATGGGTTTTTGGCTTCGAGGATGGTCTGCTCAAAGATCTCAAGGTGGATCATGAAAGCATGTTACATGGAATCCAGAAGATCTACAACCTTACGGAGTGATCCGACTCTCATGCGTGGGAGAGAAGAATAAGAGGAAAAAACTATGTGGGATGGTAGATGGCATCGTTGCATCGAGTGCAGAGTGCGACTCGCCTCCGGCTTTGCTCAGGTACACTTTGTCTTGTACGCTCTCCATGCACCACATCTCCGAAATTGTTGCGGTTATCCATTTTGGGCTGGGTTGTCGTATCCAACTGTATTGCTCGTTCATTGCTACTTGAAAGGGGGAGGGACGGTGACATCTCATGAATTTGAATGTGTCTCGTAGGTAGGCACAAAAAAAAAGTGCGTTTTCTTTTTGAGTCTTTTGAACACTGTGCGCCATTTTACTCGTTTTCGTTTTTGCCCTCATCAGGTTCCCAAAATCCATGCTCGAAGCTCTTCTTTTGCCGAAACGCAAAACGTTCCCAACTCATACCTCTCCTAACTTTAGTGCCGTCTTTCTTGATCTCGTACCGTCGTGGCTCGAAATCCATCACGGCACGCCAGTTGTTGATCATACGGCGCCAATAGCAAGCCTCGGCTGCCGGGGTTAGATAGCGGTCTCGGAATATATTCGCCGACTCTTGAGCGATCCGCCGCGCTCGGGCGGGGTCAAGAATGAGGCCATCCATCTGTGCCTTGAGGTCTGTCCAGTCACGGTTCACCTTGACATAGTTCTAGTGGTGCATTCCGTGGTTAGCTCTGACTAGAAAGAACAATAAAAAGGTTTAGACAGCTTACCTGATGAGGGCCACTGTCTTTCAAGAGAGGTTGATAGTGAAACACGTAGTTTAGTTTATGGATGATGGGAACGCTGTTGCAGTTGTGCAAATATCGAAGCCGTCCACTCCAAGAATTTCCTTCGGTGTGGGCGACGTATTTGAAACGGCAAAAGTCTAGCATATCCATGATATTGGAACGATTATGCCAGTCGATGGCCTCCACGTCGTTCCAGTCCTGGCCTTGAGCCGCTTCCACTAAGGCGGTTCGTAGCTCTCTGTTCACGGCCAAACTCCCTCGCCAGCAAAGCTTATCTTCCTTATCATCCCACCCACCGGTATAGTTCGCCTCTAGCTCAGCCACGTCCTCGCGGAACTGCACGTAAGATCCAACGCCATCGTCGGGATAGCTCCATCCATCGAAGTCGGGCATGACCCATAACCACGGGTTACTCTCTTCGCGCGCCCACGCCCACCTGATGCGCTCCGGGTTATTCTCGCCTCTAGCAGCCCTGTCTTCGATATCGATTATGAACTCAACGTCGGGAAGCGATCGGGGGTTCGGTATGGCGGTAATGGCGCGATACATGTTCGCGAGGGCGGCGAGGCCGCGGGAGCGATCCGGCTCTCCCCTCTTTTCGTCGATTACGTACAACTCGCCATTCGAGATCATGACATGGAACTCCCCATGCGGTAGGCCGGTATAATCCGCTTCTTGGTCTAGCTGAACATCGGTCTCTTGAATTCGTCGGCCCTGGCTTAGAAGGAAGTCGCGCGCGCGGTCGAGTTCTTGGTACAGGTCGGGGAATGCACTCTACGATTTAAAATGAGCATGGGGTGGTCTTTCTATCGGAATACGCTACATAGGCTAAATTGAATATCTGGGATTGGCGGATATGTAGTACTGACCTGACATTGGTCGTCGGAAAGGCCATAGTTGAGCCCGTCACTTTCCGCGTCGAACAGCCAATCATTCTCCGCAGGTTTCTCCGCAGGTTTCTCCGCAGGTTCTGAAGGTATCGTGGAAACTGGTGGTATACTCTCTGGTGGTATACTCTCTGGTGGTGTCCCTGGCGCTATCTCTGCCTCCCTCATAGGTGGCGGAACGGGAGTTTCGGATGGCCGGATCACGTCGTCGAAGAGCGAAAACACCGTTATGATCAAGAGGATGGCCAGAAGCAGCCAGCGAAGCCGACGCACGAGGAGCGCCATGGAGGACTCTCCAAGCTGGCTGCATGCGAACCAGGATTTGTTGACATACATTTTTGGAGAAGCGTTGAATAATACGAATAACGTAATTGGACCAAATGTGGTTTAGTGTACACATGCGTAGATCCAAGTGTAGATCTTGCCAAGGGGACGACCCGGAATAGGTGGGGAGCTGTTCGCACAGTAGATAGCTATGTAGATGGCTAAGCTTTGTAGATGGCTTTGTTAATTATCTCGAGTATTTGAGTTGGTTGTCTCAACTGCCTTTAAAGAATGATTCTCACAAGAATGTCTTCGAGGGTTTGGCGACAGCCAATGTGGGTTGTTTGCTCATTTAATAGATACCTCCTTACCCTGGGTATGTAGTACCTATCAGTCTCTAAACAGGAATAGTTTGCTGCCTACATCTATGTATCCATCGAATATGGACGTACATCAATATATATCTGTGATGATCCCATCCACCAGGTATCACCAAGATAAGAATTCCTGCATTACATTTACTGCATAGAGCCACGCCGTGCCGTAATCGAACCCGTTCCAGCGCCACGTATCCCCTAGACCCAATACCGAGTCATTTAGCGCCCTCCACTAGAACCTCACACAGGCCAAGCTCGCTACCTAGTACTAGCTTTTTACCATCGACTAGGTACCGGTTCAAATAATAGGCGCGTTTTTACGTGTGGCAGCAACGCATGATACTTAATTTTTTGGTCCCGTTTGTATTAATCCTTTAATGCTTAATAAGAAACCCGATGCAAAAAAGTTGACGATGTGTTGTTTGTTTTAACGTATTTATAGGTTGGCGATAGGGGAGCTAGGTCATACACAAGCTGTTGATTTACTTAAAATGTTAGGTAGTTCTTCACATGAAAGGTAACTGTTAATAAGAGTGGCATAAGTTAATCGTTTAACAAAAGCTTATATAAAATAGTTATAGAAAGGTGGCCAAGCTCTTGTAATTTATTCGACAGCAAGGCTTAAAATCTTGGGGGCGCTAAATGAACCGGTAGTTATTAGGTCTCTGGGGATAATGGTTATATGAAAGGGGCGCCTTGGTTTTGCGGCAAAGACTGAATTAACTAGAACCAGCTAAACAGGTTTATGCTATGCCTAGGCGAGTAAAGGATTGCTATACTTGATATCGGTATTTGAGATTCAGGCAAGGGATATGCCATTGTGCCTTATCATCGGAGATCTCTTTTTCTTTGTGTTTCTTCCGAAAGGGGAATTTTATCTAATAGGTGCCTACAGACAGGATGTGCTGATGCCTTGGCGTTTTATAGATACGAAGCTGTGACGCCGACAATGTAGTAATATTTAATATATTCCAGGGAGGGATTATAGACGTCTTTCTGTGTCTAGACGGGTCTATTACAAGCCTCCGTAGCATCAATATTGTCTTTCCGTCCACATGTAGTAGGATGTAAGCGTCGCACCTATCTAACTGAGTGGCGTTGCTGAATAGCGACGCTCTATTTAATAAGAGCCAAAGCTTAGCCGCCTCCCTGCCGGCTGCAACCCACAGCATTTCACCTCCCGCTACGGTAGCTTGCAGTGCTGCGTCGCTGACTTTTTTGTGGCATGGGTAGGTCGCACTGACATAGCGATCGCGAACTTTATTAATAGGCAGGCTGGCCATGATAGATACGACAGAGCGTGGAGAGTCGCCGCCGTTACGATGGCGTCCTTTTTTTCAGCTGGACGGTGTCTAAGTTATCTATGGGTGAGCTTATTCCCCTGAACTCTCCCGCATCTCTTACATGGTGCAATTCTTATCTCAAGATGGCGTTCCGTTAATATTAGCTTTCATTTTCGTCTTTTGTATATTACAATGAAGAGGTGCAATCTCAAGCTGTCATTGGAATAATTTTATATAATTTTTTTGGAAGAGATGATCGAACAGAGAACTGCATAAAGAAGAAGCTCGACCTTAATTAGCAGTGACTCTAATAATATTATACACCTATCGTATTCTCTCTCTGCGGTCTTCCACTATGCGAGTCCTGCTCATCTTGTTAGCCGGAGTCTCGCCGGCTGTTCTCGCGCAAACCCAATCACCGAAACGTGGCTTGGTCTTCATCCCTAACTCTGACCACCCCGAAGACAATCAGATATGGGCCCAGGCAGGATCTGATCTGACTTGGTATTATAATTATCAATGGGAGCCTTCGCCCGCGTTTGAAGACGTAACGCAAGAGCAGTTCGAGTTCGTCCCTATGCTATGGGGCGTCACTGATGGCACTGGGTTCCTTGATTCGATCCGAAACCGAATCAAATCCGGCCGCGCAATCACACACGTGCTGGGGTTCAACGAGCCCGATAGCCCGTATTCCGGTGGGAGCAATATTCAACCATCGGTGGCAGCAGATGTGTGGGTAAAGAACATTGCGCCTCTTGCAGAGGACGGGGTCCAGTTAGGACTTCCCGCCTGCACTGGGGGTTGGGGGGGAATCCCGTGGCTACAGCAGTTTCTTGGCAATTGCTCCGAGCTGATCAGCACCGAGGACGAGAAGAAGAACTGCACGTACGATTTTGTGAACATACATTGGTACGGCAATTTTGAGGGATTGGCGAGTCATATGGGGTCGTACGCTGCCGCTTTCCCCAATACACCCCAATGGATTACGGAGTACAACCTGGATCATCAGGATCTCCCAGCGACAGAATCTTTCTACAACATATCTGCTGAATATTTAGACCGCATGGACTCGGTTGGACGTTACAGCTTATATGGCTCTTTCCGGCCCCAAGACAGCAATGTCGGCCCCAACGCCGTTATGCTGAATGAAGATGGACATCTCACGAATATTGGGTCGTGGTACTTGGGCGTCAGCAAGACGGCTGTTACGAACCCACAGTCAGGAGGAAGAAGGCTTGCAGTACAAATGGGTATCTTCGTTTTCAACCTAATGCTGGGTATTCTTTTGTCATAATATAGGTCATCGTGGAAGGATTTCAGTCATTCTTTCACAGTTGAAAGTTGTAGGTCTACGTGGCTGAGGTTGGAAGATTGAATATATGTAGTTATATATGCATAGCTTGAAGTTGTAACTACTAAGTAATACATACACCGTACAATGAAGCTAGGGATTGTAGACTCCAGAGTTTCCAAAGTTACTAATCTAACTTGAAGTGCCCTAGGTACATGTGTATGAAGTGGGGCCGAGGTCCATTGAGGTTGAATCCATTCAATGATGTTGATAACTAACCTACATATGTACCTAGTTAACTTTGAACTCGTTCATAAAAGGCTATGTAGGTAGGGTAGGTCGATCTTCGGACCTACATAAAATGTACCTACATAGGTACCTAGGGTAGAATACATAGATCTGCCGATGCCGAAAGTAAGCCTCGGCAAATTGCAACAAAGCGTAAATATTAATCCCTGTATCCCCTTGTCTTGCCTGTCAAGCAAGCATCCCGCCCTCTCATAACCTCCGGAGTATTCAATACACAGGTACCCTCCCTTACTAAATAGATAGATAGATACATAGCATAGTTATCAGCATCCCTCCCGGAATCGCATTCAATCCTTTATCAACTCGCCTCTCCTAAGTTCTAACCTTTAGGACAATGCAACTTGGTAAAAGCTAGAGACGAGTCTTGTTTTGTTCTTGACCGTTTAAGATACCCAGAACCCTATTTTCAAACTTCGCCAGTGCTTAGTACGCCTTCCCATCCTTTCCCTCTTCAACCATCCTATCTTTCCAAAATGGCTTCAGACAGAGTCAACTCCATCCTCAAGCACCTGTCGCCGGGCTCTCCCTTGGCCGCTATGTGAGCAACCTCTCTCCCCTCTTTTCTTTCTCTTGAATGCTAGACTATATGTGTACCAAAAGTCCATTCCCTAGTAGCTAATGAACGTGACTGACATATTCCTGAAATAGTACGGCGAAGAATCCCGACGATGTAGTCATCACTGTCGCTATTCGAACGCCCCTCTGCAAAGGAAAGAAGGGTGGATTTAAGGATACATCCGTCGAGTACTTGATGTACGCTATCCTAAAGGCTACTCGCGAGCGTCTAGGCTTCTCTCCAGACCTCGTTGAAGATATCTGCATGGGCAATGTATGCACAACACCTAGAAACCCCGGTCCCTGTCTCTTTTAAGCAATTATCTAACTTATTCTCCTGTAGGTCTCAGATGCCAAAGCAGCCTACAAGACACGCGCTGCGGCGCTTGCCGCGGGTTTCCCTAACACGACCGGCGCCTCATCCGTCAATCGATTCTGCTCCTCGGGTTTAAAGGCTACGGCGGATATTGCCCACCAGATCGTCACGGGCTCGATCGAGATTGGTATTGCTGCTGGAACCGAGTCCATGTCTATCGGAGGCGACAACCTCGAGCAACCTTTTGACGAGGAAGTTACCAAGCATAGCCAGGAAGCCATTGACTGCATGATGGCCATGGGATGGACGAGTGAGAACGTAGCCAAGGATTTCGGAATATCGCGTGAGGCCGTTGACGAGTTTGCCGCTGAGAGCTTCCGACGCGCCGAAGTGACTCAGAAGGCTGGCTTTTTCGCAGACGAGATTGCCCCCATCACCACCAAGATAAAGGGACCTGACGGTGTGTTAAAAACCGTCACATTGTCACAGGATGAGGGTATTCGACCAGGAACCACCGCTACTGGTTTAGGGAAGATTCGCTCGGCGTTCCCACAATGGGGTCCCATCACGACTGGAGGAAATGCCAGTCAGGTTAGTGATGGTGCTGCAGCAGTCGTCCTTATGAAGCGATCCAAGGCGATTGAGTTGGGTGTGCCGATCATGGCTAAGTACGTTGGCTCTACAATTGCCGGACTTGCTCCTAGGATCATGGGTATCGGCCCCACGGTGGCGATCCCCAAGCTACTTAAGCAGTTCAACATCGGTATCAATGACTGTGACGTTGTTGAGATCAACGAGGCATTTGGTACTATGGCCGTTTACAGTAGAGATTTCTTGAAGCTAGACTGGACCAAGCTGAACCCACGGGGTGGTGCTATTGCCCTTGGCCATCCCCTAGGCGCAACAGGAACCAGACAAATTGTCACGGGCTTGAGCGAGCTCAGGAGGACAAAGAAGAAGATCCTGTTGACGAGTATGTGCATTGGAACCGGAATGGGCATGGCGGGTTTGTTCGTAAACGAGCAATAATTTAATTAGTCACAGGAGGATGGGAAAATTGTGTAATTAGGCGATCTGTTCTTGCTCATCGAATTATTGTATATGCGATCCAAATATCATCCAGTGTTGTTCATCTTAACTAGAATTGTCTTTTTCCCACTGAGCTCTTATCCATACGAACCCAAGTCATCATGTAGTGTTACTATAAGGTGCACAAACTATACTGGGTGATAGTGACGGAGTAATCCAAAATGTTAGATCATGAAGTACTGTCAAATAAATAGGTGTCTAGGCACGCAGCAATAGCTGTCAAGATACACAACATATACATAGGTAAGCAGCCATTGAAGCGGGCCACATTGAGGACATTATATGCACGTATTGTCTACCCGCATAAGTAGGGACATTGCAAAACATTACTATAACCACCAACGCTCGACTCGATAGTCATTCACAGTTCAACAAATTGCCACATCTTCTCATCCACTGGTCATCTACTTCATATAAGCACAGCAAAAGCCCAGTTGACATCGGCCTCATGAGATTTCGTGAGGTTGCCCTTGAGGTAGCACGTGTGCTGGGCGCCAACGTCCCCTTCAATATAACCCCACCCACAACCCGTACACTCGGCTGTTCCAGCACAGTTCTTTATGCAATCCAGCATAGTCTCCGTGGACACCTGGCGTAGGTCCTCTGCGCCCTGGCCACTATAGTCTACGCCGCACACACGTAGAAATTGCTTGCTGGACCCGGGAACTTGGTAAGTGGTGCCGTTGGCCGCGGGACAGTCAATTTTACCGGCCGAGCTGCCTGTTGAAGTTGAAGTCGGCGAGCTCGCCGTTGCAGTTGCAGTGCCAGTAGCCGAGGAGCTAGGACCCAAAGACGTGCTGGTAGGCGAACTAAAATCCAGAATGTTAGCCAATAAATACATTAAGTAGAAATTTTCGGTTTCAATCTTGCCAAGAAATTTAAGGGATGGGAAACAAACCTCGATGACACAGAGTCTGCTGAAGCAGCGACGTCACCAGAATTTCCTGACGCCCGCCTACCAACACCGATCCCAACGCCGACACCGATAGCGACAAGCAACAAGAGCGCTACTAGTGCCACTAACCACCAGAATCGAGATCTCCTAAGGCCCAGTATGCCCCTATCGACAGGCGGCGATTGCCTGCCGAGCGGAGGTGGAAGCAAACTGCTTCTAGGGGGAGGGCCAACATCGGAGGATCGTGGTGTCCCAGTGGGCGTTTCATCGCCTAGCCAGGTGGACGGCAGGCGTTCATGCTTTTCAGAGCCGCCTTGGGGCCCAAAGTAAGCTCGAGAAGCATTCTTCAGCTCGTTGAAGTCGCGATTGGCGAAAAAGTCAAAGCCACGGAACTCGAATACCGAGGATGCCCTTTTGACTGCGGTAGGGGATGTCACAGTCGTGACCACGCCCGAATGTGGTATTGCTACTGGTGCTCCTGTTTTCTCTTGAATTACAGATTTTTCCTTTGACCAGCCCGAGGTCATGGTGCCGGACTCATCAGATTGCGCCATGTGATTCGTTGATCGTGGGATCCAATCATAGCCGAGAGGCGAGCATTATATTGATTATTATTAGGTAGTATGTATATTCGAATATAAAAATAAAAAGAATGGACCGAATTGAAAGCAATTCGGAGCAATTGGAAGGATCGGACGGCGGCAAAGAGGCACGCCTGTTGTTGATGGCAGAGGAAGAAGGATCCGGGGAAAGCAGGTGGGATTCTTACTATTCACATATGTACTACATAGCTAACATAGTACCCGGGTAATTAATTAAAGAGACACTGAGCTCAACTTACCTGCCTGTAGTAGCGTATGTACATAGGTGCAATGTCACCTTCAGGGTTATTGACCTCAAGTTATTGTGATTACTGTTACCATATTCGCTATAGCTTCACTTGTTTCCGAGGAGGTTGACCAATACCATGTAAGAGTTTAAGCACGGCCCCCTTTATAGCAAAGCTCTACTATGTACGTTCGTAGTGGAAAGATCCTAACTAGTAGCTTTGCACTTACAGGGGAGTGACCCGCTTATGTAAGTAGGTACATGTGACTACCATACTAACCTTAGGTACATGTAGTTATGTAGTATGTACTTTTAACCCTAAGCAGGTACAAAATATTGCTGCAGGAGAGATCTTGCTATGACATTCTGCCATGTGCCATGTGAGAAATGGTTACGGGGATACATGGTACATATCATCACTGACACCACAGTGTCACCACTGCAATCTGCAGCTACGTGTTATGTACATATTTGGTGAAATCTAAATTCTTGACTTCTTCTATTACATCGAAAATGAGAGGACGATACTACTTTTGTAGTAACCTTTGAACCATAGTATAATAATATTCGGTTAACAAGTTAAATGCTAAATAAACCCAATCAAACTTGTCGCAATTCATATCTATCGTTATCTGCCGTTGCAAAGCTCTAATCCTATATTCCTACCTACGTCGTCCAAGTTTTTTTTTTTTTTTTACCTTCCACGCATCTTAATCCACCACATCCAACTCGAATAACCAAAGCGACCAAATACCTATGTTAGGCACCTAGGGTTCCATTGCTACCCTCTACGAAAATGGTAAGATAACATACCTGCCAGTTCTTGTCAGAAATCCCCTTACGCTGACAATCACTAGAATACCCAATTCAACTCCGCTCTCAAACAATCCACTTCCATAAAACGAGACCTGACCAACCTCACATCGTCTCCGGATACCTCACTTCCTACACCATCTGCGCTAGGCTCCTTCTCTGCTTCTCTTACCGCTTTCTCCCGGACGCTTGACGAATACAATGCGCTGGCAAAACAGGAATTAAATCCGGCCAAGCAAGAAAAGGCCTACGAGCGCATTAAGAATTTCCGGTCGGAGCTATCCTCATTCCGGTCGCAACTGGACGAGTTAAAATCGCGGCGTGAGGATGCCCTGAATGCACAAAACCGGTCGGAGCTGTTAGGCCGACGGCCTTTCACTGCCGCCACCCCAGAGAACCCTTATGCGAATTCGACGCCGCCGCCGTCCTCACCACCCTCCGCCCCGAATCGTTACGGTAGCGGCGGGCAGCTGAGCATGGGCAGCAACGACTACACGCGCGAGACGCACGCCCTGCGCGAGCAGAACTTCTTCGCGAACACCAACAATGCTTTAGACGACTACATTGCGAGGGGGCAAGCCGTGCTCGGGGACCTGGGCACCCAGCGGGAAATGCTGAAAAATACCCAGAAGAGGCTATACAGCGTAGCGAATACGCTTGGCGTCAGCGGAGATACGATACGCATGATCGAAAGGAGGGCGAAGCAGGACAAGTGGATCTTCTGGGCTGGAGCTATAGTGTTTTTCGCCTTCTGCTGGCTGTGTATACATTACCTCCGATAGGATGGCCACTAAGTGCCTGACTATGCGCACAAGGGGAAGGGAACTCGTAACTATACCTACCTAGGGTAGAGCATAGTTCCCTACTACTCTGTATGTAGTAGTCGCCAGACTGCCTAGATGTCTTGGGACATACCACATATCACTTTTAGCGAGGAGTTTAGGCGTTACTCTAAAATACCTCACCTACCTAGGTATTCAGGTATTCACGTCGTTGATAATTTTACTATGTTGAGCTATTTTTGCCCACTTTATCCCATATAGCGCAAGTTTGCGTTGAACTAATGTCTACTTGAATAAATAAATCCTGGCTCTGCTTCAGTGAAGGGCCAATGCACTCCTTGCATGCCACAGTTGGCATAAAGGTAGTCTATTCCCGACGTTCTCGCGGCCTGCTCTATATCTAGTCTTCCTATGTATAAAATCAATCGCAGGAGAAAAAGATGCTGTCGCAAAAGATAACCGCAATCAGTCCACCTCCACTACTTACTTGAGCGCAATGGTGAAGAGCACATCTTTCGTAGTTTCGACCTCGACAATTTGTGTTTCCGGTAGGACATGGTTACTAGTACTCATCTGGCCTCCAAACTCGGTTGGCCAATTTTCGACATCCCACTCGAGACCTTTGGTTGTTATGATACTTGGCTCCTTGACAGGGATGATGCCGACGTATTTAGCAAATAGATCAGTTATCAAGGGAGCCCAATTTCCCGGAATGGCACTGGGCTCACGTACGTGGATAGAATGCTTTCCTGCCTTGAGAAGGAAAGTCAAGCTCTCGCCGGAAAGAAAAAACATCTTGCCCTCTGCGTAGGTGGGAGAGGTCTGGAACATGTATAGGTGGTGTAGTTGGCTTAGTCCTTGATCAACTCGTCCGCCTAGCCCGCCTTTGCAGATGATGGTCATGCCTGGGAACCTGCCGCGGACAAAACTGACAGCTTTGGTGAAATCGGTAGAATATTGGCTAGGGCTGTGAATGATGGCACATTTCTTCCAAAGGAAGAAGTTTTTGGCTTCATCGGACAGAGAGTCTAGATCGCCAATGATTGTATTCAGATTTGCCTAGATAGTTGTGAGTTAGCTAACCAGACCGGTAGGTAGATAGGCTGAGATACTCGGGTGTTCAATTTTCATTTTTTTTTGAACATACGTAATAGTCTTTATCGTAAACAACGGTCGAGGGACGCTCCCGGTTTGATTTTTGATTCAGTTCATATATGCGGTTGGCTCCTCCATCGGCAGCAACACGGGTCACCGCTGTGGGAAGAGTCAAGTTAGTATAGAACCAGGTTGGGCATGGGCACTCGGAATAGTGAGCTGAGCTTGAGGCTTCAACAAAGTACCTTGGGTCCAAAGACGTTTGAACAAATTTCCCTCATGAATTGGCTGGTTGAGAATGATCAAGGCAAACTCATGCCCTTGACAAGCTGAGAGCTGTCTAACTGGGTACCACTCAGTGTGTGTTATGTGTGACATGATGTCGAAGGGCACAACCCCCTAAAGGCACTCCGAGGTAATACAGGCACCTGTCTGGTCGATCTTAAGTCTTGAATTCGCAGTCGGAAATACGCTTATATTGTACACCGTTGTATAACATGATGAAAACGAAACAAACAACACCTGAACATCCAGAACATTCAATGTTAGGTAAAGAAAAGAGCTAACATGTATACAGTCTAGTAGGCACAGCCAGTGACATGAATGACATGAATAACTTTAATTCCTCCCTACTATGTATGATACAGATAACGTCACTTTTGTATTACATATGTGTAGGCACATGACAATGTTAGATCTTAAATATTAATGGAGAGGCGCAAAGTGCAGCAGAGACCTGACATAGGTACCTATCCTTACATGCATATTGCAATAGGTACTACTAGTAGTAAATATATAGTGATGTGGTTATGTATTTAAGCCGACATGCTGGTCATGTCCTTCAGTACAAGACCCGCATTACGTGCATACTGTTACGTGCATACCAAATTATCTGCTTATCGGCTTATCGGTCGTTCCGAGATCGATGCAATAATAGGGCAATTTGAAATATTTTGTTAATTCGTTCATGGATGCAGGTGTATTTTCATACCGAGTGGTACAAACTATTTAGAACTCCGTCCACTTTGCTTACAAACCATTCACTGCCGTCTACTATTTTCGCATTTGCAGTTGCAATTTCGACAGCTTCTCTATTTTCTTTTTCCTCGTTCTCGCATATTATTATACGTTACTCTTCCAATAATATAGACACAAAATGTATAGATCTGCCTTGCGATCCTCGCCTCGGGTCGCAAATGCTTTACGACAAACCACGCCCGTCGCCAGTGGTTGCCGATTTGCCTCGACTACTCCAGCAAGCAAGAAGCGAGGTTGGAAGAGCTGGACTGCAAGATGGGGTCTGGCCGCAGGTGCTCTATACTTGTATAGTACAAGTGCCGTCTTTGCAGAAGAGCCATCACGTATGCGACTCTCTCCTCTCATACCTCACCTGTAGACTGTTTATGTCTTGTAGGCGGACAATTCGGACTAACCAATCCTTTTCATAAACAGCTAAGACGATACCACCGCCTCCTCAATTCTCCGATAATGACCTCCCCACGGTAGAAGCTGTGGTCGCCCAGAAACGCCGAGAAGCAGAAGAGCGAGTGAAGAGAGCTTCGTTGGCCTCTGAACCCCCAACAGCTACGTCATCGTCCGAAACCTCCTCTTCAGCACCAGTCAAAGATGTCGATACTGTGGCTTCTCCCCTCATCCCAGAGGGAAGTCCCGAATCTCTGGAAGAGGAGGCCAATCAACAAGGTGCATTCAATCCCGAGACGGGCGAGATCAATTGGGACTGCCCTTGCTTAGGAGGAATGGCGCATGGCCCTTGCGGCGAAGAGTTCAAGGCTGCTTTCAGCTGCTTCGTCTATTCGAATGAGGAGCCGAAGGGCATGGACTGTATCGACAGGTTCCAGTATGTGCCATCCTCGAGCCAATACCCACCATGATGCGATATTATACTAACTTGAAATAGACACATGCAAGATTGCTTCAGGCTTCACCCTGAGGTATACGGAGATGAATTAGCCGACGACGAGGTTTCTGCGGAGGGCTCTCCAGATTCAGCTACTGATGGGGCAATTGCAGCCAGGGAGACTAGTCCTGAGAGTAGTGTTGCATCAAGACCAGAGCCTACTGCAATTCCTGCTGAATACCCCACGTCAGCTAATGCGGATGCTACAGAAGATGCAAAGGAGACTAAGAGCCAAAAGCAGAAGCAGAAGCAGAACCAATCCTCAACATAGTCTTGAACCTTTGGATTGAGGGGTTTCTTAGCATGCTGCAGTGCACTACAAGTTTATCTCATAAAGATGATAACTGACACTATGCAAATGTACAATAGAAAAACGCTTGCGACAAGTCGCAGCACACCAGCCTTGTATATGTGTATACGATATGAGACACGGCGGAATAGACGATAAGAGCACCTCTTCGAGATACCCTGTACGTTTCATTATTTTAATAGAGATTCTTGGTTCCGGTCACTAACCTCATTGCCTCATTGTACCCCTGATTTATTACGTCGTTTGGTGAGACTCCGGGCCGAAGAGTTATAGTAGACCTATATTCCTGTATTCCAATCACAATTCCACTGTATCACGAGCTTGTGATTATGGCCTGAGAAAATTTCCCCATCCAACCAAGCAATAAAATGCAGGGGTTAACAATAGCAGAAAAGGTCTTTTGCTGTTCTACCCCACAACTGACCATTCCCTTATAGTATATAACGTATAACGTCCTCAGCAAATGTGGATGTCTTATAAGCTAAACCCCAATTCTTCCCCTGCTTCCCCTGTCTGCTACTACATACCTAGGTAGTAGGGAGTAGATAATCTGGGGTTAAGGGTCTATCACTCTGAAACCTCCCCAGTCTACCACCACAGTCTACCAGATCATATATTTAGGTGTTAGGTGCTTGGATATGTCTTAACTTGACATATCCTAGGTCAGCCATGACAACACGAGATGAACTAGAGCAGAATCACCAAGTTCACCAAGTCACCTCTTCCATGTCTGCTACATTCCAAGTTCCAGGAAGTGCGGCACCAGAAAGCGGCACAGGCACAACCACAGATACTTCAGCCGCACCACGAGCAAAACGAGCACAGGTTGCTCGAGCTTGCCAGCGATGCAGGAGGCTTCAGAAGGCTTGTTCGGACTCACGGCCATGTCAGCGATGTACCAAAGCTGGACTTGCCGACGAATGCGGCGGCTTTTCCTTTCGGTCCAAGGCTCCTTCACCTCAGACCTTACTTCCTCAGATAGCCAAGTTCGCTGAAGCTCCATTGAGTCATGGCGGAAACGCGAATTTAATGGATACTACGGCTGTCCCGTCCCCGCCATCTTCCAACCCAGACTTACCGAAGAGCCCTCAAGCCTTTGTTAGCTTTGCCAGGGAATCCTTCCAGAGAAAGATCAATTTGCTACCTCACCAGGTCGTCGACTATTGTTCCAATCGTTTCTTCGAACGTCTGGCCCCCACAATACCAATCCTGACGCCTATATACATCGACAATCTTCGGGCTCGGGCTGCCTCCGAAACTGGCATCGAAGCATACTGCGTTTTACTTGGGGTATGCGCCATGGTGATGCTCCAGATCGAGGACCCCGGAGGAAATTCTTTTGGGCAATTGGTTGTCGCTGAGAATAATGCCATGTATGGCTGGTCACTCCTGGAGGAGGCCTTAGCCGCTCACCGTCAGTTGACACGCCGATCAGTTCCATCTCTGGATTCGGTCCTTCTTGTCTTCTTCATATATGCATGCCATGCATGTCTATTTCATCACGCACAAGCTTTCTTCTTCCTTCGAGAGGCAGCGACATTGTTCGTACTGATCCAACCCGAAACATTGGATAGTCTCTCGAGATCGTTGGCTGAGCGACTATTCTGGGTTCTGATGGTCTCCGAAAGATCTCACGCAATTCGCTATCGACGTCCAATTACGCTCCAAGTGACGACAAATGGGTTCGGGTTAGCATCTTTCAACGATATTGGCCCGTCGCTAGCTGGGTTCCGTTGTCTTGCCGCCCTGTTTCGAGGATTTAATGCTACCTTCATAACACTACTAAATCAAGAAACAGCCTCTCGGGCAGTCCCCATTGATTCGCTGGATGAGGCTGAGATTGCTATTAATACGGCCCTAAACCACTCTGGCCCAGATGACCTTGTACCAACACAGAAAGCTAACCTTAGGGTCACGCAACTTTGGCTACGCATCATTCTGTGGCAGTTGCGTCTACGTCTAGGCCACCTCTCAGGACAGAGTACCCAAAGCAGCCGCACTTATCACTACCCTCTGGAGGTGGCGACTGATCTGACCCTCTCAACTCGTGGTTTGCCTATTCATAGTATTCAGGTGCATGGTGTGGGTATAACGGAAAAGCTCTTTGATATCGCTTGCGCAGTGGTGAATGTGCTTGCGCGTGTACCAGTTCAGGTGAACAAGACAGCGGCCGAGGAGGACCTAAAGTATCTGAGATGTCTCATTCTACAACTACCCGGAGGCACGGCAGTTTACGACGCTCTATTATTGAAGCATGTTCAGCAGACATTGCCAAGTTTAGCAATTAGACTAGAAGCGTGAAGAGCTCTGGTTTATGTCGTTCTGCCTAGGTACTCACATACTACGTACTATTACTACGTACTATGTAATTTGCGTCAATGTACACTGATACGTTAAGGAGGTTAACACTAAAAAGGATGGAATCAATGGGAATTAGGGCTTCATTTAATTCATTAATTATTATGAACTGCGCTTATATGTATAAAACTCCCGCTTTTAGGGTTTCTCAGTCGAGGTACTCGCCGTGTTATCATCCAACTGCTGTGAGAATGGGTCCATCTTAGTTTGAGCAAACTTGCGTGCGGAAACACGGTGCTCGAAAAGCATATCCAACTCGGCATATGTTCTACCTAGAAATGAGGCAGAATGAATTAGCTCTAGAACATTGACACAGGAGAAAAATTAATGAAAAAGGGGAGAAAAAAAAAGAAAACTTACCCTTAGGCTCAGGTAGTCGGAAGAACACCCAGGTAGTAGATAGCAGGCAGGATCCAGCCCAGAAATAGGCGGTCCTCGCGCCCCAGTTCCATGCTGTAGAGGAGAGTTGGTAGTTAGTCATAACGTTCACAAAAATATTGCTTGCATTGTAAGCTGCGCGTGCGAGCACGATGGTTTTCGCCTTTAGTCGTGTTGAGGACAACTCCGAGACCAGGGAGTAAGTTACAGGCCCAACAGTAAAGTCGTAAACGAACGTGAAAATGATCAGCATCGCCCCGATAGCCCATATGGAATTGTTGGCTTGTGAAAAGGATAGAGATCCGACCGTGATGAGAATGAGGAGCTGGCAACAGAAACCGCTGAAGTGGATGGTCCGCCGGCCAACACGAGACATTAGGAACCAGGAGCCCGCGGTACCAACTATGCCGAGTGCGTTTTGCGCCATGGAGAGGGAGAAGGAGTTGGACGGGTCCATTCCAGCCTGAGTTCTGTCACATGTTGTCAGTAACACTACTAAGATTCAAATCGCCATGGATGTCTAGATCTTACAAGAAGTAAGCAAAGTAGCCCATGAGGTTTTGACCACCGAGAGTCTGTACAAGCCAGACACCCACTACAATCTCGGTTCGCCTCAAGTCAACACCCTTGAAGCAGTCCAAATACGTAACTCCTTCCTTTATCTTCTTCTCAAGCTCATTAGTGTGCTCGATCATAGCAATTGTCTCGTCGACGTTGAAATTTGGATCGTTTCGCGATGTCAGTCTCAAAAGAGAGCTTTTGGCCGCTTCTCTGTTGCCGTGTCGGATGTACCACCATGGGGATCTATATGACCAGAATGTTAGTAGTGTATAAACAGTTGATTATTGGATTTCGATGTAAATACTCACTCGGGTGCGAAAACAAGCCCAACTAGGATGGGTATGGGCCAAACCCATTGAACTGCAAAGGGAATTCTATAGGCCCATTCGTCAGGCCGAGTATTAGAACCTTTGTTCACGGCAGCTGAAAAGAATTGACCGATAACCCAACACATGTTGATGAAGGTGGTCAGATACGGCCTGAGCACAACAGGAGCTACTTCGGATGCGTATGCAGGCGAAACGGACTGGAAAGCCCCCCAAGGAATACCTATCGTCGTTAACACGGAAAGATGTGACACTCTTATTCCATCGCTTCTACGTACCACATAGCACTTCGCCCACAACCAAAACCTGAATATTCGGCGCAAAGAACAAGACAAAAATGAACATGATCATCAGGATCAATGACCCTATGGTGGTGATCCTGTATCCGTACCGATCCGAGACCCAACCAGCGAGGAGGAGCCCGAGAATCTCACCGGCGCGTGCACCGTTGGATAACCCCGACTGCCAAGCAGCAGAGACAACATGCTTGCCAGCCGATTCGCTGTAAGTGCCGAATTTTTTGTTGAACTCCTTGGATGCGTAGAGGTTGCCTAGCAGTGATAGATCGTAGCCTTCCATGATGAGCGTCGACGAGAGTAGCGCTGACCAAAAGATAGCCTTGGGATATAGCTTAACAGCCCTAAGTAGTGTCATCTCCTGCTCAGCATCGGCGGCGTGTTTAGCCTCGGAGGCGAGCGTCCCATCGTGTGCCATATCCACATGGTGGACTGTCTCGCGAGCCTCTTTGGCGCTCTGCACACCATCTTTTTCATTCGCCATGTCGAACTAAATTTTTTTTTTCTAAAAACAACCATGAAAGCTTGAGGATGAACACCTAGTACGTTAGGGATTCTCTCGACTAGACAGAGAAAATCTCTAGACGAGAAAGGGTGAAATTGTTCTGTGAACGATGCCTAGGTAACGACCACTTATTATTGCAGCTCCCGAGCAAAATTGGCATCTGATTCAATCTGGTCCATTAACCGATAATAGACAAGGGGCTGTCAAGTGGATCTTTGGGGATGGCCTAGTTCGGTGTGGAGAGAACAGGCGATGTTCTAGCTTTGCGGAGAGCAATCAGGGGAAGTTGGGGAATCGACTGACTAAAAGCAACTGTTTAACCCTCCATTCAAGGTGAGGGTGGTTCGTCGGAGATATCGTGGTCTAATTGGGCAGATGGTAGCAAGAACAGGGAACCAAGTCGGAGTTCAGCGGAGACAACAGGTTTTGTTCCGAGTCGGCGTGCAATCCTAGGCCATCTTGGCAAGCTGCCATCACAAGATCATTGCTCATTGCTCTTCTGGGATCAATCGTGATGCTTGGCGACTATGCTCAACAAAAAACCCCATCTTGGAAGGACTTGAACCGACAATATGGATGCGTATTCGGTCAAGCCACTCAGCAAGGTCTCATCGTGGATGGTCCTATGGCTGAAATAACGAGAGTACTTTAGTTTGGACAATGAACAAATTACTTTGGTTCTGTTCCGTCCTTGTCCTCTCATGTCCCTATTTCAGATACTGTTCTTGCATTCACTCTATTCAAAAGGGCAGTGATAACACAGATATTCGAGCATCATGAATAACCTACACCATGAGAACGGACAGTTCGGCAAGGAGCCCTGGTGGAAAGATGCTACGTTCTACCAAGTCTATCCGGCAAGCTTTAAAGACTCCAATGGAGATGGCTGGGGAGATATCCCAGGTCTGATATCCAAAATCGACTACCTTCATGAACTCGGCGTTGATGTAGTCTGGCTCTCGCCGGTGTTCGAGAGCCCACAGGCAGATATGGGATATGACGTCTCGAATTATCAAGAGATATATGCGCCATACGGCACCGTCAATGACGTGGACGCACTTGTGGAAGCATGCCACAACCGGGGGATGAAGTTGATTCTCGATTTAGTAGTGAACCATACCTCGATTGAGCATGGGTGGTTCAAAGAGTCGCGTTCATCAAAAGACAATCCAAAGCGGGATTGGTATATCTGGAAGCCGGCACGGTACGACGCTCAAGGGCAACGAATTCCGCCAACAAATTGGAGAGGATATTTCGCCGGCCCTACTTGGACTTGGGACGAACATACCCAGGAATACTACTTACATCTTTATGCGCCAGAACAACCAGACCTCAATTGGGAGTCAGAGGCATGCCGTGAAGCCATCTACGACAATACCATGCGATTTTGGCTAGAACGTGGGGTGGATGGGTTCAGGATTGACACCGTCAACAAATACAGCAAGCGCACCGAGTATGTAGACGCACCAATCACAGACCCGAATTCGGCGCATCAACCAGCACCGGAAATGTGGTGCAATGGACCCCGGATACACGAGTTCATTCATGAGATGCGGAATAAGGCGCTCGCGCCATATGGTGCCGTGTCTGTTGGTGAACTCTCCAACACACCACATCCCAGCCAGGTTTTGCCGTACGTGTCGGCCGCAGCACAGGAACTTGACATGGTATTCGAGTTCTCCATGATCCGTCTCGGGACGGGTGGTATGTTTGGGCCCAAGTACGCATATGTGCCGTATACATTACAGACGATGAAGGCAATAGTCGCGAAATGGCAAACCTTCATCGAAGGCACGGACGGGTGGACCACAGTTTTCTGCGAGAACCACGACAATGGCCGAGCTGTTAGCCGATTTGGAGACGACTCAACGCCGGAGCTGTGGCGGGCCAGCGCGAAGACACTCGCACTTTGGCAAATCACTATGACCGGGAGTCTATTCCTATACCAGGGCCAAGAAATTGGTATGAAAAATATGCCAGCCACGTGGGGTATCGATGAATACAAGGATGTCGAGAGCATCAGTTTCTATAACGAAGCCGCGGCATCGGGAGAACCAAAGAAGATAGCCCAGACGATGGAGGGGCTACGCATACTTGCTCGCGATCATTCACGTATCCCATTCCAGTGGGACGACTCTCCTAATGCTGGGTTCACAGATGAGGGGGTGAAGACGTGGATGCGTGTCCATGATGCTTATAAAGATATCAACGCGACGAAACAGGTCAAGGATCCAAATTCCATATTAAGCTTCTATAAGAGAGCGCTGCGACTACGTAAGACGTACAAAGATCTGTTCGTATTTGGTAGCTTTCGGCTGTTAGAAGCTGAAGATGAAGCTATATTCGCATATGTAAAGGAGGTCCCTCGGGAAGTCCTAGATTCACAGCTACAAACCAACGGGAACATTTATCAGAAGCGCCCACCGAAGAAGAGGATGGCAGTAGTGATACTGAACTTCTCCAGTAGCAAGCGGGATTGCTTAGACGTCAGAAGTGTACTTGGTTGCGGTGGTGAGGATGAGGCAAAACTTCTGGTCGGCACGCGGTACAACGAGATCCATGGAAATGTAGAAGGGTCCATACTGCGGAACGGTGCCGTGGCGCCATCCTTGGAGCCTTGGGAAGGGCGTGTATACGTCAACTTTTGACATGATGTTAGATAATCTTATAGAAGTACTTACACAAGTCGAATGATATCTGCACAAGAGGTGCTACCATTTGATGGACTCAGCCCAGTCCAAAATCAAGGATCAATCATTAAAAACATGGATTGTAAAAGAGAGGAAAAGAGCGGAGCTCCTGATCTCTCAGCTAGCTATATATACATGGATAGAGAAAGTTCAGCTCAGCCGTAGCAGCTATGGAGATGTGCCTACAAAGTACTACCTATACCTATTGTTACGTCAATGGATAGCCACGGGAGTGGCTATCCAGGCCTTAACATCACCCCGTCTTAGGATGGAAAAGATAACGTCCACGTTATCTAAATCTGTCACGGGACGAAACCCATGTTTGTTAGGACATGGATGAACGTGGCCATGGACATAGCTATTGCCATATAAGCACATCTTTATAACTGTTACCGCAGCTTATTAAACCTTATCCATGTATATATAACTAGCTTAACAGGTTAAGAGCTTTATTCTCTTCCTCTTTTTTTTATATATTTTATTAACGAGTGATCGATTCTCGTTATATCCTTATAAAGATAAAGTAAAAAAACGTATTAGGCCCGTTACACGTTTGTTTCCTTTTCCTCCTTGTGCTTTGACCAGCAATATTTAAGAACCATGATAATATCTAACGTAGCCCTAACCATGTCTCAGCCCCTAGGGTTAGGGTTAGGGTTAGGGTTAGGGTTAGGGTTAGGGTTAGGGTTAGGGTTAGGGTTAGGGTTAGGGTTAGGGTTAGGGTTAGGGTTAGGGTTAGGGTTAGGGTTAGGGTTAGGGTTAGGGTTAGGGTTAGGGTTAGGGTTAGGGTTAGGGTTAGGGTTAGGGTTAGGGTTAGGGTTAGGGTTAGGGTTA